CACGAAACTCTAACGCTGACCGTTATTGCGCAGAAGTAAAAATTGAGATGTCTTGGTAAGAAACGGGGTGCGCGGATGGGCGAGCGTTGCGCACATTGACTCTCCAGTCGTTCCCATGCGCAGCTATCCCCTCCGCGTTTTGCTCAGCGCTAGAGTTACGTGCCGCGATCTGTAATCAATTAATCTCGCAATCTCGCTGGGCACCGGGCTCGATCACCGGTCGGGTCAACTTATAAAATTAACTTGTTTTGTATTGTCTCGGGTCTAGCTGATAATTTTATGGTAGTTTTTTCTGATTCCCATAGTACAAAAGCTTCAATTAACTTATTTTGAATAGTAATATAATATAATAATATGATATGTTTAATAAAGTTTATTTCTTGCTCGTTAATTGCTACATAGCTTCTATCTAATCTTTGTAAAATATGTAAATAATTTGTTTTTTAATTCGATTTAGTGCCGCCATCTATCGAATAATAAAGACTTTTCTTATTATACGATACGATTACGGCAGTGCTTTTGTAGCAACACTAGCATATAAGCATGCGTGCTCTAAATTATCTAACCTTTAAAATAGTTTGCTTAAAATTTCTATGATGGCGCGTGCGTTCGCAAGTACATTTATGAAACTTGGTGTCTAAGCAATAAAGCAATTGTTTGCGTAAAATATAACTTAAATTGAATAATATATTAATTTAAGTCATTGAAAGTGATTAGTATAAAAATGTCTTAAAGATGAAGCATTTTTTTTTTATTTATTAAGCTACTGGTGTCGATTCTGGCGCGATTCTCTAAATCTAAACTTTTTGACAACAGTGGTGTCGATTCTGGCATGATTCTCTAAACCTAAACTTAAATTTGACAATAGTGTATCCTTGTCAGTATCTATACAGAATGAAAAGGAGAGACTGATGTTAAATTTAGCTTTAAGTTTAGAGAATCATGCCAGAATTGATACCAGTGTTTCCTTGTCATTCTCTATACAGAATGAAAAAGAGAGTCTGATGTTAAATTTAGTTTTAAGGTTAGAGAATCACGCCAGAATCGACACCAATTATTCATTTTTCAAAACAATTTAAGTAGTATATAATGGTGTCGATTCTAGCATGATTCTCTAAACCTAAACTTAAATTTGACAGCAGTATATCCTTGTCATTCTCTATACAGAATGAAAAGGAGAGACTGATGTCAAATTTAGTTTTAAGTTTAGAGAATCACGCCAGAATTGGCACCAATATTTAATTTTGATCTAGAGAGTTGAAATTTAACACAGGTGTTGTCACTAAGACGTACCTAGTCATGAAGGACTTTTACGTGTTCACATTTTTGTAGATTTCACTTCTATCGCATGCGAACAGAACATGTCCGTTTCTTTTTACAAAATTTTATTTTCTTTAACCAGTATATTTTCTAGTACAAATTTCTTAAGTATTAATTAAGACCTTTTGATTTTAACTTTTTATGTAATTAATTTTAATGGCAGAAATTAAACATGAAATGATTCTTGTTCATCATCAGTTTTTTTTAATCAAAGCCCTTTCTTTAGTTTTGGAACTCCATGCTTACCTTTGATTACTCCATACTTACTGTTTTTTGGGGAATTTTGTAATGAGACGATGACATCACTTTGAAAATGTTAAGATGGTGTCGTAATTTTTTAAACTAAAATGATGTTAAAATCTAAAGAAAATGTAACTAGAAAAAAAATCCACGCGGACCAGGCAGCAGACGGGACTCGAACCCGCACCCTTCACTATCCGGGCGAATGCACTGACCAAAAAAATGGGTGCGTGTACTTATGTAGGCACGTGAGAAGTTATCCTTCTTTGGCATCGTTTAAAATTAGTTTTTTATTGCATGCAAATAATTAATAAAAAGTCTGGAAAAGGACACAGTCAATAAAGTTCAGTTTTAATTTGAAAAAATAAATAAATAATCAAAATATTCAATTAAAATCGCTACTGAATATAATTTATTAGAACATATGTGATTTGCACTTGTATGAAACTCAAACGCGTATTCCGAATATACAAACTAGAAACATGTGGATAAATATTATAAATATGAATACCTATAACTGTTACTTTATTACAAAAAATAAAGATGTGGTTTTTGGTTCTACTACACCAATGGTCAAGAGATGGCGCTGTAGTCTCCTGAATCGCGCTTTGGTTCCGTTGTTCCAGATTAATAAATACTTTTGATATTATAAATATGAATACCTATAACTGTTACTTTATTACAAAAAATTAAGATGTGGTTTTTGGTTCTACTACACCAATGGTCAAGAGATGGCGCTGTAGTCTCCTGAATCGCGCTTTGGTTCCGTTGTTCCAGATTAATAAATACTTTTGATAGGCCTTCACAATGCAGTCGTTAGCACCCACTAAATAGAGATTCTATTTCTATTTTGTTGGTAGATTTTCTTAATGTGCGGTAAACACAAAAGTAACGCATGAAGTTGGTCGCTAAAGCGACCAACTTCATGCTGTTAAAATTTTGTGTTACAGTGATGCGCGCGCATCTTAAAATTTCACTCTCATAATTTTTTCATAACGCGACTAAAGAAGTATAACTTCAAAAATTATAACTAAAGGTGGCTTTTTAAAGGTGAATAATAAGTTACCAACCGATGGACAGTGACTTCGTTGGTTGTTTTTATGCGACCTTTATAATTTCGGCATACTTTTATCGCGCAACTTGGCATTTTTATGAAATAATTCAACACGAAACTCGATAATTGACGTGCGTATCGTATCCCTCAGCATTGCATTGAACACTAAGGAAAGACTTAGATCCCACCAGGTGGGGTCTGCGCTGCCACGCTCATTCTAGAGAGTAAATAATCAAAGTCATATTGTAGGAAAACGTAAAAAACTTAGGTAGTCTGCCATATTTGATTTAAGGTGACGTCACTTTATTTTTCGAGTTACTCTTAGCAAGCCCTATAATTTGATACCCATATTGTAGGAGTACATCAAAAATAACTAATTCGCCATTTTGTATGCTTCGCCATATTGGATTTAGAATGACGTCACACAACTCACCATTGTCATCTCAACTAAACATGTGTCAAAAATTTCAGCTCAATCGAATGAAGACATCTGCTTCAAAATTGAGTTGCAAGATTCCACCCGAACAAACAAACTTACTTTCATACATACATTACAAGTTTTAAAAGCTTTTAAAAATTCATATAAGAATATTATATAATTCGACGACCTCCGTGGCCGAGTGGTTTGTACTCCGGGTATCATGGTGTCGCCGACTCGAGAGGTCTCGAGTTCGAATCCCGGTGGGGGCAGATGTTTGTGTGATGAATGCGAGCATTTGTACTCCAGTCATGGATTATAATTTTTATATGTACAGTATATGTATTCTATCCATTACCCTAGTATCCCATAACACAAGCCTTATAGTGCTTACTTTGGGGCTAGGCTAATTGGTGTGAGTGTTGGAAATATTTATTTATTATTTATTTATTTATATTCGGACTAGCGCTTGTATAGCAACATAGCAACCCATATGTGTGAACGTCAGTGTGACCAGATTTAAATTAGCCATTATGCTATCGGCTGAGCTTAAATCTGCTAAATTCTCCTAAACTTTCTTTATAAAATTATAAAATACTGCTAACTAATTATACTTTTATTTTTTATGGAAATGTGTAAAATAAAACTGATTGTAGGTATTAAGTATATATTTCTATTGATTAAATTTATTATTATAATTAAATTGTTATTCAGTCATGTTATGATTGTGTTATGTTATGTTTATATGAAGGTCCTCCGAGTTGTGGGCTATTTTCATCATATATTTTGACGGTGTAAAATTTATGCAACCATCTTCTTTCACTGTTTGCTTAACACGAAGAACTGCAGAAGCATGTTTATTTGTAAATCAGTTTCTTAGGTCCGTATTTACATTAATTTCATATTGCTGGCTTTACAAGAAACGGTATTTGTGTCATCCTTGGCTCTTGATAGCCAGGATGAAAACTAAGGAACCGCTTCTCATTCCGAGTGATAGTTTTGATCATGTTTTCTTTTCATTTTTTGCACACACGATACACCGTTGACAAAGGACTACTAAATAGCTAACCGCCTAATCCAATACAAAGAAAATTCACTCGCTTCATTCACTGATACAGCTCCTCAAGGGAAAATACCGATTTCGCATGTTTCGGGAGTTCCCCTGAAAAGGGTGCCTAGCACAACAAGAAAGACCGTACACTAATTGAAAATTGTATTTTTTTTAATGTTTTGCACAACTTTTCAAATAAAATCGTAAAATGTCGAAATCTGCTAATATTCTGCTAATTTTTTTTAGATTCTGCTTAAATCTGTTCACTTTTTCTAATCTGGTCACACTGGTGAACGTGCTCTATGTAAATTTATGGTAAGCGTTAAGCCCTCTACGAACTGTCCCGCATGCTGGATCCAGAAAGATGGATAATAGTATCGATTCTGGCGTGATTCTCTAAACTTAAAACTAAATTTAACATCAGTCTTTCCTTTTCATTCTGTATAGAGAATGACAGGAATGCACTGTTGTCAAATTTAAGTTTAGCTTTAGGGACTGGTGTCGATTCTAGCATGATTCTCTAAACCTAAACTTAAATTTGACTGCAGTATATCCTTGTCATTCTCTATACAGAATGAAAAGGAGAGACTGATGTTAAATTTAGTTTTAAGTTTAGAGAATCACGCCAGAATTGGCACCAATAACGCCAGAATCGATATCAATGCATAGAAGACTACTTTAACTTGCTCACACATGAGCTATACTGCTATACACTCATAAATTTAGATTATGTACACAATAGTATACCTTAGTGGTGTCAATTCTGGCGTGATTTTCTAAACTTAAAACTAAATTTAAGGTCAGTCTCACCCTTTCCTTCTGTATAGAGAAGGACAAGGATGCACTGTTGTCAAATTTAAGTTTAGCTTTAGAGAATCATGCCAGAATCGACATCAGTGTTTACGTACCTTTAGTAAGTTTTAAAATAGTACTTCATATTTTTAGAGCGGCAACTCCATTTGCTTTTGCATTTTTTCCAATGTGATTGTGGAAGACGTTTAGTAGACCTATAGGAATTTCTATCATTTTCAAAAAGTATTTTCAGAACTCTTATTTGTGTTTAGTTATTTTCTTAATATATTTCTTATTTCTAGACTAAGAACTCGCTCTTTTATTTGGCACAGTAAAATCTTCTCTAACCAAAGTAGCACTCTTATTTGGCAAGATGTCGGTGATACTCTTCTGCAATTTTGACATGGAAAGAATGTATGTACCGTCGTAAAAGATTTTTTTGGATTTTGTATGAGCTTACAATCGTGTGAATGTGTAAATATAATAGGTAGAAATACGCCAATATGAATCATCTCGCGGACGGAAATGTTCAAACCATCAAATGCAGTCCGACTGCGAAAAACAAAAGCAAAAAGGCCAAAGATCCTTCTGAAACGACTGACGATATAAGCATATTGGATCAGGACAAGCTGAACGAAGTTTTGACAAATTCTCTTCATATTAATAATTTCAACAATAGTAACCTAACCAATGGGACAAGTGACCATTTGAAAAACGAAATCTCCAACAAGACATGTGTTAAAATAGAAGCTCAAGGTGACATAGTAAGTGATGTTTCAAATGATGTAAATAGTGTACAGTGTATTGATACTGCCAAGAAGCAGGCAGAGGAGGTCAGCTCCAAGCAGCATGCCCTTAGTTCATGTGAAAATGCTTTAGAAAGCATTGATAACTATGTCAATAAAAATGATCAGGCTCTTCAAGATGATATAGAAATTATATCATATGAATCTGAACTTCAAATGCCTGAAATCATGCGACTTATACAAAAAGATTTATCAGAACCATATTCTATCTATACATATAGATACTTTATACACAATTGGCCTAAACTCTGCTTCTTGGCGACTCATGAAGGGACTTGCATTGGTGCCATTGTATGTAAGTTAGATATGCATCGCAATGTTGTCAAAAGAGGTTATATTGCTATGTTAGCTGTGGATGAGAAATACAGGAAGCGAAAGATTGGATCTAAACTAGTTCGCAAAGCTATACAGGTATTGATAAAATCATTATATTAAAAATATTCCAACATTGGATTGATTCCAACAGAACTTTTTACAGTTAATTCCTATTTGATTACAGGCTATGATAAATGACAATGCAGACGAAGTGGTCTTAGAAACTGAAATCACCAACAAACCAGCACTCAAGTTGTATGAAAATTTGGGCTTTGTAAGAGACAAACGCTTATTTCGATATTACCTTAATGGTGTAGATGCATTACGATTAAAATTGTGGTTAAGGTGAAATGAGTAGGTATCTAATGGGAAATTCTCAATGTTGTGTTTACTATGAGACCGAAGTCTCAAGCATGTTATACATGTAAAATGATCCCTGCTGTTGTTGAATGGTATAACCTTTTATTGCCATGTGGATTTAGCCAAATGTATAGTTTGTTTCACTTATTTTAGTCATGTGATATGTTTAATTTTATGTAATTTATGTGTTAAAATTGTTAATGAAATATTTTCTTCAATTACTTTTATATCTTGAATATAAGAATATAAATGGTTAATATCCATACAAAAATACACAACTTTGCAGAATTGAATTGTGGTTAATGTTTATTTACCCTTTATCATTTATAAAAATTATGGTTATGAGTAACCAAGTAATAATGATAACTTAAGAAAATTCTAGTTTAGTAAGTCTTACATGCTGGGTGGCACTGATTCACAGGCAGGACTGCTTCACAAGTAGCATAATATTGGAGGTATATATTATTAAAATAAACATGCCATATTTATCAAACATTTTATTCACTTAGTTTTAAAAAGTAAAAGTTGCAGTGTTTGTTGATGAGCCATCATAAATAAACATATTATTCACTGGTTTATATTGTTTCGTGACAATTTTGATTGCTTCATGGGCAACACAACCACCTAAAAAGGCAGATACACTATGTATTTCAGCTCCACCATATCTGCACATTTCATGGATATGATCATCTTTTGGAAAAGGAGAACAGGAAATATCGCTGAGCAGTTTTGTGACACATATCTTTAACTTTGTAATATCACCTTCAGGTTCCCAATCACCTGGTGCTCTATAATGCTCTGAACGAAACATCTCTGCAGCTCTCAACAATATGTAGTGCACCATCATAACATCAGGTTCCTCAAGATACCTTGAAATATATGCTGCAACTGGACCTCCTAATTGATATTCAGTGGCAATACATGAACCCTTGATTAAATACAAATCATGTGTATGCCTGCAAAACAGTTTAACATCTGTTTCACTTATACTTTCACAGTGCAGTTGTGCCACAATTTGTTGTACTTTTCTATAAACTATCTCTGCATCCATTGCAGCCTGTGCTCTGTATATGTTTTGTAATTTTATATAATGCTCTGTAGAAGCTGTCATATCTGGCAAAACTCCCAGCAAAGGCAGTTTTCCTTTACCCTCTGCTTCAATGAATCCTCTTAATGCAGAACACATTATCCAGAATGGAGAGCTGTCTTTATTTAAATTAGTAGCAGAACTGCTGTAAATGAGCTCCTGAATTTTCACTGGTAGAAAAGTTGGTAGCAAAGCTGTATTGACAGCTCTTAATGCTTCTTCAAAGTTCTCTTCATTAATAGGTATACCATTTTCATCTTTTCTAATAAATTCTTGAATAATCACCCTTATTTCATTTTTTTCCTTTCTACTCATAGGCCAGCTATTAGGGTTAGTTATCTGCCATTTTTGTATAGCTTTATACAGAATGACAATCCAAGGTATATGGCCATGATCTTTCAGATCCAATGAATCAATATCAAATCTATTCAAATAATCTGCTAGAGATTGAAATGGTACATCTAAACGCAAGTCCACTTGTTCATTATCTGGATGAGTTTCAATGATTGCATGCTCTTTCAATTGTATTCTTAGAGAACCAAGGAACCCAACAGATCGACATAAAATAAACGGTATATTTAAATCCCATAAATGTTGCGATAAATCTTGAATAGTTTTTTCACTAAGAGATGAAGCTATTACAACACTGAAGGATTTGAAAAATTCTGGATTTTCCGTTAGTATTTGATCTGGAGGTTCTTGAACTGCATGTCCTTGCACGGCAGGATTTAATTCTAATAGCAAGCGCAATGCTTCTGAAGCTCTGTTAGAACCTTTACTTGAATATTCTAAAAAAAAATTACTGTCTATATCCTCCTCACTCACTATTTTTTCGTCCACAATTGTTACGGATCCAACACCAGGTAAGACGATCGATTTTATTATCTCAGTTCCAAGTGCATTTGCATTGATCAGGCATATATGACCGTTTTCAAGAGCTGCTTGTCCATGATCACCCCATAGCCTAAGTTGCCGGTCGTATTGCTTACTTTTCTCATTTTGTTCTGGTGATTTAGGAGATGGAGATGCCATTACAACAGATAAAATGTTCAATATATTACTATAGTATGTTTAAAACCACAGACGAAAGTAATCAAAGCTGCTTATATAAATTAATTAATTAAGGCTTTATTTTAGGACCACCAATGTATTGACTGGAACAAATTCCCAAGCAAACGAAATGTCAATGTCAAGATAGATTGTCAACTAGTATATTTTTTAAAGTTCTCTCTTTTCTGGGAAGGCAGAGGGAACAATGCCTATACAGCCTGGTTAATTTATTTTAGTTGAATTTTATCTATAAAGGTTTTTGAAGCATTTTTATTAGTTTTCTTGTTTTTCCTATTATTTAAAATGGATTGTTTTTTTTTTATTTTTAATATACATTTGTTCCATATCACAAGGAAATAAAAACGAGTTGAAAAGCAAAATAGAAACATAACTTTTGTCGCAAAACCGTAAACTCAAGCACAATTAATAATACTTATGTAAATTTGTACCATTGTAGTATATTTCTCTTTTGCTGATGGCTCTGCTGCCAAGGCCAAAAAAAAAGAAAAAAAAAGTTTTTGGCGCAATTAATTTGATCGAGTGCGGTTGGCGTTCTATTTTAATTATTCTTTAAAATCGTTCATAATGGATATTGTCTGCGCAACTGAAGAATTAGTGGAATCTTTAAAATATACGCTATTCCGCTCAAGTGGACGTGAGAACTTTATTGTAGTGTTGACTTCAGAAGCTTATTGAAAAAGCCAACTCGATACATTTCGTGCCAAATACTCCAAAAAACATTAGGATGCTTCACACCGACATTCTAATGTAAAAAAGATTAATATAGTTATATTTATAGGGAACAATGCTCATACAGCCTAGTATAGTTTAAGGCTAGGCTGTATGAGTATTGTTCCCTTTGCCTTCCCTAAAAAAAAAGAAGAGCTTAAAATTAAACTTTTTTTATTTTTAGTTAGTTTGTCCCTGTTGGGGAGGTTGGGACGGGCAAAGGAAAAAGACTTTTTTTTACTAGAAAGATTTCGGGTGTATTCCGAAATGCACATCAGTATACTGGGCAGTGGTAATAACGTCACGAATCCGACGCCTTCGCGCCATATTGTTCTGGTATACTACCAAATTTTTACCGAGAAATGAACAATAATGGTATCCGAACAAAAAGAATTCCTTTTAATTGATGAGGGGAATAAAAAATCTTTTCAATTCGCACTATTTTTAATATTTCGTCGATTAATGACGTCAGTGCACTGGCCAATGTATTTCGGAACAATTGACCAGTATAGCGTCAATCCATGACGTCATTAGCACTGGCCAGTATGCTGGTATATATTACGGAATACACCCTTAATGCGTGATGACAGTTATTTGACAGTGACAGCTGAAGCTTTGTTGCTGGGACCTGGAGCTCGAACTGGGACATTCGTAAATCTAGAAATGGAAATAAATACTAATTTATGCTTTTCAATATAGTTAGAGAATTATCATCAATAATAATATCTAATTTTAATTTAATAAAATACATTAAAGTGTTAGGACTCAGAATTTGACCCGATTTTAGGCAAAAAGTTAAGACTGTCATGTTCGTCTTCTAAAATTTATCAAACATAAGTTTTATTGTCATAAATACTAACAGTGCAATGTTTAAAGTTCTATGTTATTCGAATGTGTATGGCGATGAATTTACAAACATTATTTCAGGATTTTAATCCTAGGTGAGTATTTTATTAAAATATTCTATTGACATTTCGTTTGTGGCGTGTTTGTTGGAATTAATTACCATACATTTCTTTTCAGCAAGTTTGTAGTACATACTTGTCTTCTTATTTTTACTGCATTACTAGCTTTGAAACTAGACAACTCAATAACATGGTCCTACTGGGCTGTTTTTACACCAATATGGGTGTGGAAGTTCCTAGTAGTTATTGGTGCTACAGTTGGCACATATGTTTGGTGGCAATATCCTCATTTCAGGTCAGTACGAAGTGTTATGTAGAAAATATGACAAACAAGTCACTAATTCATAATTTCTAATAAATATTCAATCAGTATTTAACTTTATGTAATTTAATATTCAATCTGAATGTTTCCTATCGGTATAATAGTGAGAATGGATCATAACCTTGATGTTTAGACGGCATGATGCAGAGTTGAGATCAATGGACTAGTACCCTTTGAAGCACAGTGGAGCTTGAGATAATAATTTTGGTGTCATTCATCTGGTAATTGCGAAAGTTTCTTAACTTATATGATTGCAGTCTAAACACTCTTACCACTCTGCCATGATAACAATATGTCATATTTTGTCCAGTCAATGAAATAAAATGATGTTATCACTGACATGAGTAAAGCTAACAAAATATATTTCTAAAAAAAATAACATTTATTTTGCAGGTTGGAGGGTGAGGCATACATCCACTATAAAGCAATGCTAATAAGTCTTGCCATACATTTAATTTTGCTCATGTTTGAGTTATTAGTTTGTGACCAATTGACTACAAAGCGCCATGTTTGGATATTGGTCTTTATACCATTGATCTTCATCAGTATAGTATCAATTGCTATCTGTATATGGTCAGTAAAACATGATCGAAGTTATGAGGTAAGTTCTGGTTACAAATTTAGCACAATTTTTTTAATGATTATTCAAGATCAATGTAATTACCTAATAGATATGTAATGAGATATTTTAACTTTATAGTCTTTGTATTAATTGATAATATAATTATAATAGTTCCAAAATTAATTAAATCTAAAATAAAAAATGGGAATGTTATTATTTTTGTGCCTTTGCACAGAAATGTTTTTGATTTCAGAGTACTGCTTAAATCATATTTGTATATTATATGGCTGTGCAAAGGCATTAAGATAATCTCATGTCCTGGTACTGTAAAATAATTATGTGTCACTGATTAATAAATTATTTTATATAAAATAAATTTCATGTTTATAGTACAGTCATTTGGTAAGAAATATAGTGGTTACCTGGAAAGTTTTCCGGGAGTTTTGAAAATTGGTAACTTTATATATTTTGAGTGCTCTTTCCGTATTTTGACTTTGCTACCTCATATTTTTGCCTGTTGGAGTACACTTTGCGCCACTCGTACGCCAAAACTATTGACTTAATGAAAACAAAGGTAGATACAAAAATTGTAGGCAATTGTCTCTTGTTTCATTTTGAATATAACTGTTTTTATCGTAAAATGAGTCGGAAAAGAGATATTGTCAATAAACTACTTTTAGGCGCCATTTTCCCAATATAGCGGCGCGAGCGGCAAAAATACGAGTTGGCAAAGTCCAAATTCGGAAAGAGCACCTCAAAATCTATAAAATTACCAATTTTCAAAACTCCCAGAAAACTTTCCAGGTAAAACTACCAAATGACTGTACTATTAATATTGTTTGCCATTTTATTAGTTCTGCATGGTCTTTTGGGTTGACTGTAAGAAAATAACATACTGGCATTATGTCCACCATTTGCATTGTGAAGGCAATAAATATTAAATAAAATGAATAAATAAGTATTTTTATGCTTCTTAACATACATTTATCATTGAGTACATCTGTAGTTTTTAGCATCTACTAATTAACCCTATGAGTATATTGTTTATTATCTTACTGTATTTTGTGTATATTAACTGTGTTCTTTCTTCTATATGAAAGCCTTTATTCCAGCATTGAAGAATACTGAATACAGCACTGAATAATGACTTATATATTATGAAAATATCATTATTTGATTTTAAAATAATCCTTGTTTTAGCTGGAATTGTTCTGTGCTGTAAACATCCTGCAATTTATATTTCTGGCTTTAAAGTTGGATGAGTTCATCAATTGGTCATGGGAAGTTGTGTTTGTGCCTTTATGGATTCTCATGTGTCTCAGCCTAGTAGGTGAGTGTATGTATTTCTTTTATATTTTACTAATTTTACACATAACACATTTGAACAATCTTTGGCCAAGTGTAGTTTATATTTAAGAGTTTTATTTGATAAATTAACAGCTTGACATATTTAATTAATCAATTTTACATAATATCCATAATCCACATACCAAAATGTATTATACAAAACTAACCAAAATATGAACATTAATGTGGTGTTAAATGATACTCTTAAATTATTAAATTATGTAGTAGTTTGTGTGAAAGTGTAATAACGCTCAGTAATAAAGGCATTAAAGAGTTGTGCTTAATCCCTTTTGCCTGTGGATGTTTCCAAAGTTTTATAATATTTTTTGCATGTGGCAAGTATGGGCTGGATGCCAGAATAGGCTATTTAACATAACATTTATTTTTTATGAATTTCCGTTTTTTTACTGATATATGCAACAGAATTACAAATATCCACTTTTTATGGAGTCACTATACACAAATAAATAGCATATGAATGTTTTCAAAAACTAGTCAAATAGCCTACTGCTCCAGCCAATTCAGCTCAACCAAAAAAGCTCATTGGGTCTGAATATCTTGTCCATCTCTGTGTTTTCTCTTCTAAGAGGTATCCTTGACATGTTGCTTCACATATTTGAAGTAAAGCATAATTTGCTATAGTCAGGGCTGGAGCAATGTTCAATTCAGCATGTCTGCATGATCCCTGTATTGGTATTTCATATATCTAAATACAATATCTCTCCTCAACGAGGATCTTGATATACTCTGCAAGTGGTCTGAGCGCTTTGGTGTTGTCGTCAACCCAACTAAGTGCCAGACTATTATTATTGGTAGATCTCGCCAAATATGTTAGGTGATATGAAATTGGCGCTGTAAGCCCCATTGTTTATAAAGGCATGCAAATTCCTTTTTCTCCAAATGTTAAGAATCTTGGTTTGCACATTGACAGCACCTTTGGCTGGTCCACTCACATTAACGAGACATATCGGCGGGTCACAAATATGCTCCATACCCTCTATAGATATAAAAAATCTCCCTGTTCACACAATAATCTCTTAATCCAGACTCTTGCCCTATTATCCATAGATTATGCTGATGTGTGTTATCCTGACCTAAATAAAAATATTCTTGGTAAATTGGAGGTGTCTCTTAAGAGCTATTCAATTCATATTCAGTGTACGGAAATATATATTACTTCATTTCGCCGTGAACTCAATTGGCCGCCTCTTTCAGACCGTCGTGATCTAAGGATTTACACATCTCTTTTCTCAATTCTTTTTGACCCTAATGCTTCGTCTTACCTGAAGTCCAAATTTCACTTTTTAAGTTCCACTCACTCTCGTCCCCCTCTTTCATTTGAAAACCTTTTTTTGTTCACTACCTCCCTATGCTCCAGCTTCGTATCAAACTCATTCCAGATATTCGACTCTGTAACGATCTTCTGTTCATGAGGAAGGCACTCAGTAAACCTGCTTTCAAGGTCCTCGAACGACAGCATTTCGCTAAGAAATCATAAATCATAACAATTTCTATATTATGAACAAACTTATGGTCAATCCGCCTAATATTAATATTATTTGTAGTAGTATTTTGTTTTACTATAGTATTCTTGAGTAAGTATAGTAGTATTTATTATTGTACGGTCACAGACAGAAAATGTTAACCACCATAAAGATCATAATTGCATGCACACATTTCAACAAGGTCACAAGTTCTAAATGTCTATTTCATAATAATTTGATTGACCATAGATTTGATTTTATCTTTTTTGTAATGATATGACAATCAATCGCTCTAGACGATGGACGGGACGATGCATCGAGATGCGCGCATAGATCGGTCCCTCTAATATCATCCCATACTCGAGCACAGTGTGATTGAAGATCATGAGGGTTCCTTTCATTTTGACAGTCCCAGCATTGAACCATAAGCCCCCATAAATTTTCAACAGGGTTTTAATCAGCAGACCGAGCTGGCCATTGAATGGGACGAATGCCACGGTGCAGGTTGAACCATGCCATAGTAGCACGGGCCGTATGTATCCGTGCATTATCTTGAACATAAGTCATCATGTCAGCCGTACGACGCCCACTGCTGAGCATAGGCCTCCCCCAAGGATCTCCACACCGATCGGTCCTGCGCCACTCGCATCCATCGGCTTCCCGCGACCTTCACAAGATTGGCGGTCCACCTTGTAGGGAGCCTGCCCACTGAGCGTCGTCCGGTGCGTGGTCGCCATTCCAGAACCTTTCCGCCCCAACCGTGGCAGTGGTTCAGCAGAGCAATCCTTCGAGCGATATCGGTTACTTTGGTTCTCCGACGGATTTCCTCATTTCTGATTCTATCGCGTAAGGAAACACGGAGCATTGCTCTCTGTGTGACCTTGAGCCTTCTTATAAGACCCGCAGTCGTGGACCACGACTTCCGTAGGTCATTACTGGCAACACACTGGTCGCAAGACTTTTGTCTTGAGACACTGAGGTAATTTGGACGCGAAGATTTTCCGTAGCTTCCCGAACGCTGAGAGATCTCTCGTCGTATCCAAGCTGGATACGACGAGAGATCTCTTTCTCAAAGTTGAACTTACCTAACTGGACTGTCTGACCTAGGTAAAGTAGTGTTCCCAATTTTAACTGAAGCAGGTACTACATCTGCATTCGACATAATTTTCGTCTTATCCATGTTCATCTTAAGACTCACTTCTGGCCCATGCTTTTGGCTTTCTGCCTTCGAGGATGATGGAATTGAAAAGCCTCTGGAGGACTTTAAGTATCGGCTTACCGCCCGCTCTCAAAAGTTCTGCTGTGATTCCATCATCGCCCCCCGCCTTGTTGTTTTTAAGTTGTTTGTGAGCCATACTAATCTCATACAGGCTGACGTCCGGGACATGTTCAGTGTAGTGTCGAGTAAGATTGGCTCTGGGGTCTCTAGCCTTGCTTTCAACAGGTGCTTGCGTGGAATATAGCTGTCCATAGAAACTCTCAATCTCCCTCAGAATTTCAGCCCTAGACGAAATGATGCTACCGCTGTCAGTTTTTAGCTTCGTCAGTTGGCTTTGCCCAATAGACAGATATCTCGCGAACACTGTGGAGCCTTTGTTGCGCTCGATAGACTCTTTGATACAATACGTATTAAATCGGCCAAGATCGCTCGTCAAGGACTGTGATATCTGTCTATTTAGCCGACGGTACTGACTTGCATCTCCTGAATTCTATAGTCTCATTTCGTTCCACTGTTCCATGAGTAGGAGAGTTTTGTCAGAAAGTTTCTTAATTTAGGTACGGTGGGCTTTAAAATACTTGGACCCTACCGTACGGACAGTAACCACCACCGTGTTGTTTAGATCGTCCACATCTAAGCTGTTCTCAAGGGATTCGAAGCGGTTTTGAAGTTCGAGTTGAAAGCTCTCGGGTTTCTAGAGCTGTGCAGGCATTGGTCGGAACCTAGACTTCATCATTCGAGATCTTTCGAGCTTAATGTTGATATTCAATGTGCCTCGTACTAACCGGTGATCACTTCCCGTTTTAACGGCGTTGATCACAGAGACATCATTGAATATTAGCTTTTTCGTCGACATGATAAAGTCGATCTCGTTTCGGACTTTGCCGTCCGGACTCATCCAGGTCCATTTCGACTTTGGGGTTTCCTGAAGAAGGAGTTCATATAGAGGTTCTCCTTCTCCATAAAATCTACCAACATCTGTCCTCTGGCGTTCCGTTGTCCAACTCCAAAATGCCCCACTCTAAACTCATGTGTGTTTTGTAGCTATGCATGGCTTTTGTGATCTCCTCATACATAGCTTCCACTTCGTCATCTGGGTGCGTCGAGGCCGGAGCATAAACCTGTATGACATTCAACTAATATCGTTTTGATATTCTGTGTATCAGGTATGCTACCCTGGTCGACACACTTCCGATGGTGATCACGTTGTGAACAAGGGATTTGTGGACGAGAAACCCGACACCGCCTAGGGACTGTTGATCACCCTCGCGATAGTATAGCAAATTACCGGAATTGAGGATTATCGAGTTCTCTCCCTCTCTTTGGACTTCAGATAAACCAATAATATCCCAACGTAACTTACTAATAGCTTCTTCCAACTCTATTAGCTTAGCGTCGGTCCTCAGTGTGCGCGTGTTGTAGGTTGCTAGGACGAGTCTACGTAGGTGGTAGCCGGAACTTACCCGGGGATTCTTAGCACCTCTTGCCCCCCCGTTACCATAGCTGCTACCGTGGCTAGGAATAGCAGGGCTGCCGGGGACTGGGGGCCAATCTTTAATTGTGCTACACATTCTTGGGAGGGTTTTGCCATAATCGCCACTCTTGACAGGCGGGTTGGCGATCGCAGTACAGCCAAGATATTGCAACAAGACGCTGCTGCCCATCTTCTGCTGGCTGTGCTCCCTTAGTCGCCTTTTACGACACCCATGGGACGAAAGGGGTGGTGCTATTCTAGGCCGGCACACACACGGCACCCATAAGTAATGGGCGGGAATTCTGTTGCAGAATACATGTGATGCTGCCTACTGTGCGCGTAGCGCACAGTAGCAACTTCTTCTCCGACGCCATCGAGACTCATAAGTTTACTGTTATGCGACCTGACTCGTTTTTAGGCACGATAAGAACTTTATCATACCGAGTTCGATTATAGCGCCATAAAGTTAATCTTCCGATTTGGCTTGATTAAAAGGTTCTCTTATCAGTATATATAGTATTCGACCAAGCAAAATCATGATGTTGTCGCGCTAAGTTAAGCCGGGCTGTTTTGTGGTGAGGTTTAAGCTTCACTTTAACAGCATGGTGTCTGTAGTGTAGTCCAGCACTGCGTAAAGCTCGTCGGATCGTCCGAGCACTCACATCATATAAAGCAGCAAAATAACTAGTTGGTGTGAAACCGTTCTCTTCATAACGACGAATCATTTCTGTTCTTTGCGCGGCGGTTAGAATTGGTTGTCCTCCTGAATTATTTCTATGATCTGTTAAGTGCCCTTCTTCGGCGTGACGCCGGATCCAAAACCTCACAGTGAATCACGATAGATTGAGTTCTCGTGATATATCACTAATACATGCCCATCTTCAGCCCTTTGCTCCAGGATGAAACGTCAAACTTGTCATTTTATTCCGTTATGAAAATATTATTCATAAAATTTTGCTCTTGGCCAAACAATGTTCAATGTTCAAACAATCATTTTTTTATAAATGTCATTTCAACAAATTAAGAAATTAGTTTCAATATCAAAAATTAATATATAATTCTTTTTGTTATTCTCGATGCGTCATATTGCATAATAACTTTTGGAAGGTAATAAGTTACTTGCTATGGCATTTTAGACTTTAGTGAAAAAAGTGTTTCTGACCGCCACTGTATATGGGGCATTCCACGCGAAGCGGACAGGTTAAAAAACTCGATGTTTCCGATTTCAGTAATATTTGAGTATGTTCTACTTATACTTATTATTGATACGTGTACCAAATATTTTTGTGATATATTGACTAGTTAAAGAGTAATGGGACTTTGAAGTTTTCGACAACCAGTTGGCATGCAGTACTTCAAAGCCGATTATGGACTCATAAAATTATATATTAAAATAACTAAATCACTGGATTTCCTACTTTATTTACTGGGCTTTTTAACTGTGTTTTTGGAATAGAAAAAAAAAAATTTTTTTCGTAAAAAAAAACCAATTTAAGTTTTTTTCCTTGATTTTCACCAAGTTAGACCATTTAGTTTTTTTTAATTTTTTTATATAAATTGCTAATATTGTATAGAACATTGGTGCCAACTTTTATAATGGGCGTGAAAGTGGATTAGGAGCTAGACTGAAAATACTGCCGAAGGGTGGCGTCCAGCGCCGCGCCTGTTGACCGCCGCTTGTGCGCGATTAGTCATCAAACTGTCAATCAAATAAAATCACTTTTGACGGAATGTTTTGTAGATTTTTAATAAAACCAATACATAGAAAAAATTCCACGCGGACCAGGCAGCAGACGGGACTCGAACTCGCATCCTTCGCAATCCGGGCGAATGCACTGACCAATTATGCTACCGCGGCCCTCACGGACCGCGTCGAAATTCCTCTAGCCAGGTGGCAATGGAATTTTTTCTAGTTATATTTTCTTTAGATTTAAACATCAAGCAGTTACATGCTTTAAAGAAATAAAAATTATAACTATAATTGCTATTTCTTCTTTCAAATGTTTAATACTTGTAAAAGTATTCATTTGACATTGTGGATTACCTATAATGCGAAGAGATGGCGCTGCCTTGCAGCTTAAGAATGGCTAGAGGAATTTCGACGCGGTCCATGAGGGCCGCGGTAGCATAATTGGTCAGTGCATTCGCCCGGATTGCGAAGGGTGCGGGTTCGAGTCCCGTCTGCTGCCTGGTCCGCGTGGAATTTTTTCTATGTATTGGTTTTATTAAAAATCTACAAAACATTCCGTCAAAAGTGATTTTATTTGATTGACAGTTTGATGACTAATCGCGCACAAGCGGCGGTCAACAGGCGCGGCGCTGGACGCCACCCTTCGGCAGTATTTTCAGTCTAGCTCCTAATCCACTTTCACGCCCATTATAAAAGTTGGCACCAATGTTCTATACAATATTAGCAATTTATATAAAAAAAATTAAAAAAAACTAAATGGTCTAACTTGGTGAAAATCAAGGAAAAAAACTTAAATTGGTTTTTTTTTACGAAAAAAAATTTTTTTTTTCTATTCCAAAAACACAGTTAAAAAGCCCAGTAAATAAAGTAGGAAATCCAGTGGTTTAGTTATTTTAATATATAATTTTATGAGTCCATAATCGGCTTTGAAGTACTGCATGCCAACCGGTTGTCGAAAACTTCAAAGTCCCATTACTCTTTAACTAGTCAATATATCACAAAAATATTTGGTACACGTATCAATAATAAGTATAAGTAGAACATACTCAAATATTACTGAAATCGGAAACATCGAGTTTTTTTACCTGTCCGCTTCACGTGGAATGCCCCATATGTGTAGGTATTTATCGTATATATAAATATGTATGAATATATATGTAGTTATGTAGGTATATTTATAGATGTTACATTATAATTATTATATTAAGTAACATGTAGTTTTATTTTATTTATTATTTCGTTCTCTTTTTACTTTTATTTACTTTACCGCATAAGGTCTCTGCTTAGCCCGATGGTTGACTGGTAGAGAATGCCATGTGGCATGGTCCGCCATTTGTTGTAAAAAAATAAAGAGTAAATAAATAAATTCTTAAATAGTTTTGTAATGTTTAGTTAACATCGAATGACATTATTTTGCAACAAGATGAACAAAGACAAAACACTGAATATCAAGTCCAAGCTTGTTCTTTGTTTTTAATACTTAAAAATATAAGTTTATTATATTATGACCAAGTGAGATTGGTTTTAATGTAATCAATAACCTTTTTACCTACATTATAAACATATCAAGAAGTGTACAAATATTAACTTTGATCTTGTAATAGTTTCGATGAAACGAAAGTTATTTTTATTATAAGGTGATCAATTCTTTTCTTCCTTTTTAAACCATAACTTATTAATATTTTTACACAGATATTTTGCCTACATCGTAGGAGAGGACTTGCACAGTTACATATTTTTATGAAGTGTGTTGTTAGTTTGTGTGCAATAAAACTATATAGCACAAACAAAACTGTACAAATTGGAGCTTATTCACTATCAAGACAACATTATTTGACCTTTTGAGAAGTTAAAGTAATTTTTAAGTTGGTCAATGGATAGAGATTTTTTTATATGCTCCCAGAGTTCTTCCAGAATTCTATGAATGGGGTTAGAGCTTCTTACCATCACTAGAAAGAAAAAAATCTAACAAAACCAAGAGTTAATTCCATCATTTTTTTCCATCTTTGTTGTCCGGTTGCAAATAGAATTCTCATTACCAAAATATATTAATAAAGTATAATGTATTTTAGGGGTGCTGTATAGTATAATATTTGCGGGGATCTTGCTGCGCACACCGGAAGTCAACATTCAACAAAGGCGTACTAGTTTCAACTCCGCATTAGCTTACACCTTCACTGTCGTGCCCATCTTAGTTTTTCAGGTACAAAACTCTGTTTCCCTTTATCTACATGGACGAAGCTAGTAAGGGGAAGGCCCTCCGCCCACCTTAGATACCTAGTTTCGTACAATTAAAAAAATAATTTAAGAATGAATGTAAGTTTAATTAGGCCACTAGAAAAAATAATATGTATATCAATTTGATATTTCCACTTGCACTTAAAAATTCTATTTTAAACTTTTTATTTGATTACACTGTAATTTATTATACAGTAATGAGAAAATCAAATCAACTACCTAGTTCATTACAGCTTGTCATAGTTAGAGTGGCAAAAAAACGTTCCAACGTAAGCCAAATTTGCTTATGAAGGGTATCATACATTGCTCAAAATGAAACACTATATTGAATCAAAAACGTTGCAAAAATCAGTTATCTGTCTGTCTTTTAATTTGTCATCGTATATTTGTTTTGCTCAAATCTCATAAGTAAAATGCGAAAGGATAGTCAATAACTCCATAGCAACCATTCATTTACTAAAGATACATTATGAAGCTCTTAGCCTTGTTTTTTTCTAAAATAAATTGTTTCATCAATATTTTGTGGCAGATTAATAAGAACATTTGTTGTATTTGTAGGTGCTATTAACAAACAAGTTAGACGATGGTCTGGCCCTCTCCTACACTGTCGTGGTGAGCCCTCTGTTCGTCAGCTATGCCACTCTGATCATCATGTCATTCAGCTCCAAGGGAGGAAACAAATGTAAGTGCTTTTCTATAATACATGATTCACTTGCTCAAACTCGAAAATGTTGTTAATGTTGAAACGAAATCAAGAATTAAATTATATAAAGTATGTCTTCTATCTTCTTATAATATATTGATGGCTACAATTTTAATAAACTTATATATACCCAATACTTAACTATTGGAAAAAAAAAACTGTCATGAAATGAAAAAAGAGTAGCAAATTACGACTCATTGTATATTTTAGGGTGGTTTGGTATCAGAAAGGATTTCTGTCAGTTTTTACTGTCGGTATTCCCATTGCTGCAAGAGTACGCTAATATTGCATATAGCAACACAACCCGAGGCTCCAACGCTGTGCCCGCGGAGCCCCCCACAAACCAGGAGCCTTACAGGGACGAAGATACCCACAAAAAGGTCAAAGACAACAAAAAGTCCCACAAAAACCAGAAGAAAAACGAAGCTATGAAACCAGTTGTGCCTGTTACGAGTATTGATATGCCAGATTGATTCTATTTGTGGCTTTAAGATGTGTGTTCACTTGTTAGTACTCCCTCTTGTAAATATCGGGCTTCATGTGTAACAAAGCAATATAAAACTCCTTGTTATGTTTGAAATTAGCGGTAAGCTATCTTCATGTGTAGATTTAGAAATATTTAAGGTCCTATTTTATTAATTACAGGCGAGCCGTTCTGGTTTCACACCAGTGTAGTAAGAAATCTGCTAATGAAGTGTTATGTATACAGATTTCAGAACAGCATACGATCCCAATTCGTGAATATTCATGTATTTTTTGTTAATGATATAATGAAATGTTGATGTTGTAAATTATGAATGCAGCAAACAAAAAACTGTCATATGTAGCCATTCTTTATCTTCATATGATATCAACTACCAATAGGTTTAATGCAATTTCGTGTGGTAAAAGGTCTTAGATAAATTAGTTTAATAGTGAACACAATTTCGCCTATATGTTAGCTAATATTTTAATTTTCAAAACTTACATTGAAATAAATATCTATGTAAAAGTAACTTGGAAAAATGAAATTTTACAATAGCGTTATTTTTAACAAATAATATTCATTAAAACTGCTTACATATATAAATTACATTTTTATATTTCGATCTGCTTCTGATGTTTTGTTTAGTGTAGTAAATAGGACCTAAGATAAACAGATACATATATAATTACTAACCGGTTGGTGAAGATGACTTTTAGTTATGATTATTTGTAGTATTAGTTGTTAACATTGAAACTTGTACAGTTGTTGCTGTTTGAAATGGATAAATAAAAAAAATATAGGTCTGCGTATTATATTATATTTCAGAACAGTCGTAGGTAAGTATATCTTTGTTTCAATTAAAAAAGAGATAAATAAAAGATTATAAAATGGTAATTAACACCAATGAGGATCAGATCAGCAAATCATCTCAAAATCAATAGTATAATGATCTAATAAGCTTTTTAATTAATATACTTTTTTAATTCATTGAAGTCGGTTCATTCGTTGTAATGTTATAACTAATTTTATGGTCAATATTTACCGGCAGCCGAAACATGTGACGTCACAGAGCTCGATCGTGGTTCACTCCGGTCGAACTTCAGTAGCTTCTCTACGCACGCTCGAGCCCGAGCGCTAGAGCTCCGTGACGTCACGAAAATTCGTTATTAATTTGATCATAACTTAGTTAGTATTTGTCGTAGAAGAAAAATTTAACCACTGTATTTTATGGAATCCTTAGCTCTATAAATCTCCCAAGCAGCATCACAAGCTGTATAACAGCTCTATTAAAGTTCATTTATACTCTTAATGCTGTATCTCTTGGCCGCATAAAGGCTGTATAAGCGCTTATACAGCCCTTATACCCCTGAAATTGGCACAAATTATACAGCGTTTTGCCCTATATTAGCTGTACAGTAGCTGTATAAGCATAAAATAGGCTGCATAATAGACGTTTTGCGGCTGTACTATGGTGTTCGAGGAAACCAATACACTCCAATTACTACATTGTAATTCACTTGTTAAGCTTTACGTTGTAAAAAGTCTGTTGAACAGGGTTACAAAAGAATTAAAACGAAACAGAAGATATATTTTAATGATGGCGTTTATAATCACTTTGATCAAAGTGACATTTATTATAAACGCTTTGTGTTTAAAGATTTGGAGATTCGATAGGCGCAGGATACAGTGCATTATCGTGCAAAAATAAATTTATTGTGAACATATATATGTTTTGTGATAAAAAATAAACGCGCCAGCAAAACAACCAAGGAAGAGATATTAGATAAGGTTATTAAATATGGTTTTTATAGGTTAGAATTTAAAAATGTTTGAATTAATGGACGTTGAGCCTCATTGGTACATAGTAGGTTATTGGACAAACTGAAAATATTGATAAACATAAAAATATTAGTCTAATTTTTATGTACTCATGTTCGTAATCTTCGATTTGTAATTGATAAAATGGCGACAATTTGCTAAGCAGCCTAAATTCTATTTTGATGGTATTATAGCAGTAGTAGCTGTACTATGTAGGTAATGGATACTAGTATTCAGCTTTTAGCGGTTGATGGGCTGTATAAACGAATAAATTTACTATTAATGTTGCATAGCAGTGTTTCAAACATAACCTGTAACTCTTTCTAGGGATATGTAATATTAAGTGAAAAACCAAAATGCACTGAGAGATCACACCACGTTTTCGAAAATAAAGTATTAAAGTTATTTTTTAGAAATTTCAAAGCAATTATTGTAGATTTGCGTCCTAGAATTTGTAAAGAAATAAATAAAGTGATTCTCATAGTTCATTACTTAAGTGAAAGAAAAGTAGTAGCATTACTTAAATGAATTGCAATATTTTTATATTTATGCATAATGATTCACTTATATTCTACTGTTTCAATTCTATTACCTTTAATGTAAGCTCTCGCAGGAGAATCTCATATAAAACATCTTATTCCTATAGATACTTTACTCTTGATTTGTTCAACGTACATTCCATTTTTAATTAGGTTGTCAATTTCGTTTACAAAATCATTTAAATATTCGTTAATTTGCTTTGGTTTTCCAACACCAAAATAAATACCAATCACCAACGGTTTTACATCAGGTCTTTCAAATATAGCACATAAAATCGGCTAAAACTCTTTATTAGAACTATTAAATATTGGAAGACCGACAAAATTGAAATTCAAACAAATTTTACTCGGAACGTCAACCCATTTTTCTAATATATTTTTTAAAGATTTAGTTAGGCCGTTATGCCAATATTCACCTCCTTGAATCGGTTTGATTTGTATTTGCTTTGCAGTACCTAAAATTGTTCTGGCATCGCATGGTAAAATTCCTGGAAATCTTAAGTTTATGATAGTAGCTAAATCATTCAATTCTTCTTTCTCTGGCCCAATTCTGTATTTGTTGGCGAAATAATAATTTTTTTTCATATTCACTTTCGCCGTCACTTGAACTGCTGCATGATTAAATGTCATAAGTTGCAGAAGGTAAAGCTAATCTACACCTGATATAAATATGATCATTCACAATATTTTCTACGGAACCCCTTTCATTAGATGTCGACAGTATTGACGCTTGACTGTAGGTGATCTGATCTGTTGCAATATCTCCATGTTCCTCGGCAGTAATTTCATTTTGTTGATAATTTGTAATATTTAAATATTCCTGTTCAATCTTTCTTCTAATAGCACCAAATCTTTTTCGCTTTTTCCACATATTTATAAAACAATCACAAAAAACAGCATACAATGCACAATAATCCAAAATGGCGACTCTGTCACTTATACAGATTAAAGCTGTACTATAGGCGTTATTTATTTATATTGCTGTCTATTACTCCCAAAAGACAGAAATAAGACAGCTATCGTCTGTAAAAGGGTGAACAATTACACCAAAAAAAGAAGCTGTAGAAGAGAGTTTGCCTACTTCATAATACAGAAATAAGATTTCAGGACCACCATAATACAGCTCTAAGCTGTATTAAGTAAGTGACGGTATGCAAAATGCAGCTATTGTACAGCTTTCATACTAAAATGAGATTAAAGCGTTACAGGAAACTTAAAGCTGTACATGACATTTATCATTCACTAATTTAGAACTTTAAGCGTACTTTGACTCCTTAATACAAACTTAATACAGTTAGAGCTGAATAATTACTCCTAAACCGACATTATAACACTATAATGTCTTTTCAACGTTCTTATACAGCTGTAAAACAGCGTTAAGTGCTATATTGGCTGCTTTTTAGGTGTTCATTACGCTTGGTTGCTGCTTGGGCTGCATTCTCAACTAAAATCGTTACGGATCCTCATTGTACAGAATCTTCAGTTATACTGGTTAATGTTTAAGCACACAGCTCTTTCGAATAAACTATGAACTTGGGCCTTGCATGCCTTCAATCAAGGTGAAAATTACTTCACTTCCCAATCTATATTCACATCTTCTGAGTGAGAAAATTACCGAGTTTCATTTCAGAGGACCTACCGCCTAGAGGTATTGTTATGGCTATAGCTTATGATTTCATTTTGTTATTTCTCGCCGCCGAAGGTTTTCAAATGCCTCGCGCGCTTTTTTTCTTTTGCATTGTTAATAACAATATTAAAGAAATTGAGCCTAAGGTATTTGAAAACATTCGGCGGTCTGAAGTAACAAGGAAAACGAAAGCGATTGCCATAGTCTCGTTATGCGATTGGCCCTCTGTTGTGATGATTCGTAGACCCAAAAATCTTAAAATATAAATAATCCACATTTTAAACTTGTACATAGCTTTTGTTGAGTTACAGGGAGGAAACTGTTAAATATTAAATCAAATTATGGATGTACCATTAAGTTTGTTAACTGTATACCAGTTTATGTTACGAGCTGTAGATATCGTAGTTATAATCATCTAACGTAGGTGCTATTGTTTTAGTAAGCTTTCATGGGAAAACTTCTCAAGAAAAGTTCTACTTCGTTTCATGTTACTTATTATGAAATAACGAATACTTTATTTGTTATAAGACGTGGTGGAAGTTACAAGTAAAACTCGTAATTTCCAATATCGTATGAGCTAATGATAAACAAGGCTCATGTCCCTAAGGGTTACCACACATGATAAAGAACATTAACTGTCGCTACCTCCTGGTTATGTAAAATATCCCATCCAACTTTGAAGATCAATAATCTTTAATATTTTTTCCTGATATCTGAAATGTAAGGCTTATATACCACACTTATTATAAAGAAAGAATAAGCCCGGACTGAGTGAGTGAGAGAGTTATGCACATCACTCAAATGACATTTGTAATTCGATTAACAGACAAAATACTGCTATACTATGTTCGCTGAAAACAGTCAATGAAATAACTTCTTTATCACACAATCGCTTACCAAAAAAGGATGGAAACTGCTTCACGCAGGATAGAAGGGCTGTTGTTGGATTGGAGATTTAACATTAATTTCATTACTCCGATGTTGACAGAATAGTTTTCCATTAGTAGATTAGGTAATGTTTTAACTTATTCTCTATTTGTTAATAAGGGGGTAAGACACCAATGATTGTGCTATCAAGAGCATCTCTAACAAATTGTGTTCAGTCCAATGGACACCATGTATAAATATATTATTAATTCGTTCGGGGTATCACGTCAACTGCCACATATATATTTATTTTCGGACGCGTAAGCTTTTTCGTTTCTTCCTGACCATTTTGACAATATTTCTGTTATAAACTACAGAATCCATGGTCAACAAAAAAATATATAAATCAAGTTTTGACATTCAAACACATGCTGTCTGACTTTGTAAATAACTAGTAGTTTTAATGAAAAAAATATGCGCATATAGAAAGCAAATCGCGCCATACTTACATAAGTACTTTTTAGTAATTCTGATGCTCATTTTCTTACTTTCTCAGTATACTTTTAACCGACAAAAAAAAAGAGGAGATTCTCAATTAGGTTGTAATTTTTTTCCTCGAGCTAAATGTAAATATTTGGATAAATGACAATAATATTTATCAAAAAGAAAATAATGAATTATATTGATCAGTAAATCGAAACATTAAGAAGAGTTAAAATGCCTCTGCAGGGCGTCACATGTATCCTTAGCATAGTATCCAATATAGGTCCCATCCCAAATGTAATGTGACATTATAATTAATTCGGTGGCTAAACTGTACTTCCGGGGCCCAAGTGGTGACACTTCACGTTAGGTTAGGTTATTATTGTGACCGTAACGCGCGAGCCGAGCGAGTGAAGCGAAGCGAGCGTGCCGCGGCAGCGGCCGGCGAAGCGCCAGAAAAAAAATGTATTTAAAAGAGACCTTTCTTACAAAAAAAATCAAGTATCACCTCTTGGGCCCTGGAAGTACAGTTTTACCAATTCGGTTTTTGTGAGGGCAATACTCTAACAGAACACTCGGCCTGATTATGACTGCTATTGTATTGCTACTGCAGTAGCTCTTATCATACTTTTTTGTTAAACTTGCACGAATGAGTTTATTACCAATAATAGAATTGCAATATTGTGTATACTTATATATTTAACTATTTTAATACATATCATTGTATGAAAGTTTGCTTTCATTGTTCCTTAATATCGTGACAAGCCACTGTAAAAGTAGAAAGGGTTGTAATTTATTACAGTGTCGTGACAATGACTAGGATATTTGTAACACAATATGCACACGCCCTAAAAGGAATAGAAGGGGTCGACAATGTTCTTCTGTATTATTATTTTACTATTCAGTTCCTGTATAAACCGGATAACGGGAAAAAATGTTTCATTACATCATACGTACTTATTGTATAACCCATTATAACCTAATAATCACTATGAATTCCTAGTATGTTAAACTATCAAACATAATATTGTATAACAGAAAGGAGATTGGTAACACACAAAACGGAAAACTGTGTAACAACAAAAGAAGTGAGAATCGCACTAAGTACATGTTTACTAACTTCTTTAAAAAATAAATTTCTATAATAGAAGGGAAGGGTGTGGACTCTTTAACGTTGTAGGGCGTAATTTCTGGATATGCTGGATCGATTTTGAGAATTGTTTACCAATAGAAAGCCACGTCATTTGTGCGTGTTATTGACTATATAAACCCGAAAGATGAAAATACTTTAACGCGGGCGAAGCCGCGGGCGGTCGCTAGTACATTTATAAAGGCCCTTTTATCTAAGCTCACAGTGGGTCAATCCAAATGACTACTAACTAGTCTAAATTTGGTGCAATTATACTGACAACCTGCACCTTGGTGTAAATTGACTTTTAGAATTACTTAAACGTATTCACGTTTACTGTGATATCATCTTCCTATCGCAATTTAAAACAAATTATAGAATTTAAGTGAATGTTTTGTTAAAATTATGTTGTAAATGTTGAACGATTATAGTAACTCCTATTTTTGTCGCAATTAAAGTGTCAACTGTACATAAATTGGTGCTTTGTTATTTATTGTCACTCTCATATCCACCCAGTTAAGAAGGCACTTAAAAAAACTCACACTGTGACGCATATTTAGATAAATATTTGGTGATCCCAGTCTGTGTGATAATGTTGATCACTATGAAAGTAGTTTATAATTTTTATCTAATATTTTCAACTTTATGAGCTTGGTAATAGATTTCAATATCGCAAGCTATACTCACAAATGTCTATCGTCCGTCTGAGGGGTCCGATATAGATTTAAGCAAGTTATGAAACCGTAATGGTTATTATAACTATATACTTATCTGTGTCAGTTCTAATCTTCTTAGAAATAGAAATGCTTTCAATATAATTATATCATCATAATATTGACACAGAAAGAAACTACCTAAAGCCTATAGTTTGCCGAACTGGAACATTACAAAACCGCTGGTTTCTCCTTGACCTCTCTCATGAAAATGTATTATCTCCTCGCCTTTTGTAATCGATTCCATGCTAATGTAATATCAGTAAGCATTATGTATCCCCTATGCCTTCGTGTTCTTTTCAAATATTGGCTCGTAAATGTCATATAAAAAAGTTACTTATCATTATTATGGAAGTATTGTTACGTCTTTAGTCTGGGCTCAACTTCGATTTATTGACGTCGTTGCTACTTTTAAGACCTTAATTTGCTGACATTTTATTATTAGCATTCAACTGCTAAATGTCCAAATACAAAGTTATTTTTTCTTTGAATTTGAACATCCAGCAATGCTTAAAGTGAAGCTGTGCTACTTCGAAAGTATTTTTTGTTCATCTTTAGCACGCCGTATTACATTTTTTATTGTTATTAAGAAATTCAGGCTATTTTAACAAGCAACGGGGTGGTTCAGTGGTAGTAGAGTTTGGCTGCCACGCGTGCGGCCTAGGTTCGATTGCCAGCCGAAGAAGGTCTTTAATTTTTATTTTTCACTTTTTATGAGCCGAAGTAACATCCACTTTGTATAATTTTCCGAAAATTATCAGTTCAATGTCTACGATCTGAAAAAAATTTAAGGCGATGTTGAACATTTTAAAAGTTTCGCTTGCAACGTAGTTTCATCAAACCTCACCAATTTTTAAAAAGCTTCCTATCATCGTAAAGATGTGCATATAGAAATGTCGCCTTATAGGGATAAACCGTCAACTCAGACAAAGTTTTATGTCATCTTTACGACATATGTACCTAATTATTGAGGTGTGACTTAGGGGAAGGGGGCCTAAAGCGAGCACCATAAGTCTCATAAAGCGAAAAACGTTTATAAAAACATAGCTGAGTCATACGATTTATGTTATTAGATGCTAAATTTGTTGAAGTTTCATACTCAATATATAAATTTCTCGTATGTGTCAAGAATAATTAACTAAGACCCAAAATATGGGACGGTATGCTTAAAATTTAACAAAGGAACTTGAAATCTTAACAGCCTTTAACATTTTAATTGTATTAAATCAGTCATATTTAGAAATTTTAGATGTCGCTGCAAAGTGGCCCGTGGGATGCCATATTTCTTAGCCGTAGTTTTTATAGCCTATTTCTGTTCAGCGGCCTCCTGTATCGCTTTTTTCATCGTACTTCAACTCCAGAAACCTGGCTCTGTTTTTCTTTTATATTCATTCACCATCCTATAGAAGGAAATGATAGAGTAGGTAAATAAAACAATGATAATTTTAAGAAAATAATAAATTAACGTCATTTCAATGCATTACGAGCATGATCACTTGGGCATAGCGGGCATGCTCGCTTTGCCTTCATGTCATGCACACGTTTTCGTCAGTCTAACCTTACTTTTATTTTCATGTTTGCTTGCAAATATGATCAAATAAATTAAAATGAACCCAATACACAAGACATATCTTGATAATTAGATAGATTCAGAGTAACACAGCCAACGAGGCCAGGAGGGGCGGAATATACATTCGCAAAAAAACAAATTGTGATGACTACAGTCATACATCATAAATGACACAAAACAGCTTCAAATCCTGCAATTCAGAGGTTTTGATTGACGGATCCAGAATATGTACTGACAAGTTTTTTTATTTTGTCAAACAAGTCCGACGATTGAATTTTAACAAAATAATATGAACTTTGTGTTTAAAAGTGGTTAAATATAAATATATTTTAATATTTCTACTTATGTGTGAAATTTAACACCATCCAGCAAATTACAGAACATTTTGGCACTTTTGATCCCTAACATACATTCGCGCAACTTGGCGCAGTCTTGTGAAATATCCTAGCGCAACTTAAGTTTTGTTACGTGAATTGGCCCAACAGCGGGGGAAAAACGGCAGAGGGGAAAGCCTAGTCCCCTCTTGGCCGCGTCGGCCGTGTTTCTCTTTGGATAAATTACTTAAAAAAAAAATGGTTGCCTGTAAAGTCGGTTTTACGGGCGAAGATTTTACGTGACAACGTCTTTTTCTCGGTAGAATATTTATTGATATGAATATAATTAAATTGCACAATAGGAACAAGGAATTGAATGAAAATAAGAATTGCACAAATTTTAACTATAGAAATATATTTTGTTTACTAAAACATTGTACATGTAAACTTAAACTTAACACGAGAGACTCATCGTAACGTTACCGAGCGTTACACTTTTTCATAAGTGACTCCCAGCCGCAACCTAATTTAAGACGTTGTCACATCAATTAGACAAAACACTATCTTACTTACCTTCCATTTTTCGTCAAAATTGTATTTTTTTTCAAACGAGCCCTAGAGTTCGTCGGAGGTATAACGCACTACTACTGCGGATAGTAGCGAGGCGGGGGGTGGTGTTTACGTTGATTCTGTATTGGGTGCTCGCTTTAGGTTGGTGCCCGCTTTGGGCCCCCTTCCCCTAAGTATCGCAAGTCGCAAAATATTAATGCTTCATCATCCCATTTATTACTTGCAAAATTACAAACTATTAACTTGTCGTGTCGTGATGAAGGTCGCGCTCGCGTATTAACAGCAGTAAAGTTAACCGATAGCAATTCACAAGTTGTCGTACAAGAGCTTAAATGTTTGGCCATGCGGCTGGCTGGTACCGACGTCTCTATTACATCGATACTGTATATACAGCACGTTGCCGCATTCAGTAGACACAATGAGCCCACCAACGCAAACGGACCCAACATAGATAGCTTTTTATTTTCATACATTTTATCCTTTTAAAGTGCTTAGATAGATTCAAAATGTCTTCAATGAAAGTAAGTAGTAAGAAATGGATAAGCGAAGAGACCCCAGATGAGGAAAACGTGTTCAGCCATTGTAGAGAGATGGAAATTGTTTGCTATGCCACCACAAAAGTGATATTAGATCTGGATAACAAATGGAAGGGATCGTCGGCGAAAACCGTCGGCCACTCCTTGTCTAATCGCAGTTATATTATGGAGCTGGTCAACATACAGGTCGGTATCAAGTTCACATAATAATTTGTCAGCTGATCATTGTTTTCATTGGATGTAAACAATTTTGATGAGATGACGTAACAGTTAGCGCATTTTCTTTACGACTGTGAAAGTTACCATTGTCAGTTATTGGATGAGTGTCCAAAAATGTATTGGGTATGTTCTCTCCGTGTTTGGAAAGGCACATTAAGCCTTTGGTCTCTGTTCCTTATATCGTCTTTAGAACATGCTGATCCCCTTTATTAAGTAGTCGATTCTCTTTACAGAAATGTCCTATGCTCACCCATGAGATGTTGGAGGAGTGATGATAAAAAAAATAAGATCATTTTATATCTAACAAAATTTTCCTTATTATCATTTTAAGATTCAATGTGCCTTTACACCCATATGCGACTGTGTTTCAGGTACTAGATCAGATGATTGAGTATTTATCAAAGCTAGTTAGGTCCTTCTATAAGCTAAACCCAAAACTGGCAAGATTGAAAAAAGAAGATGGGCTACTTATCAGCAAACACGATCACATTTTCGATAAACTGTGTGGGATCCGTTTTGTGATGCTACAAGCAATCAGTGAACTCATTCACACTATACTTAGCAATTGTCTGCACAGAGAAGACTCGAGAAAGATGATTGAATCTTGTTTGAGGTCAGCATCACTTGAGCAATAATTCATAATTTATTAGAATCTTACATAATTATTGAATTCCTTAGCAATACAAAAACAATTATTTAGACCTATAAACAGTCTAAAATTTATCAAAAAGTCCATTCATCATCAAATCATCTAAGTGCAGCTGTAAATTTTATTTACAGCTGTACTTAGAGAAGTTCACTTTCAAAGAGTCACTCTTTTCAATATGAAAAAATTAAGACAACACGTAACTTTGTAAAGCCTTGAATTTATTTGATACCTCTGAGTGTGGCCGTTAGGTAATCATTTCATATTTATTTCAACGTATTCCAGTTTAGTATCGATACACAATCAGCTGATCGGGTTGAGCTATAAAAAGTTCGCGTCTAAGTTCAACGTGTGCAGCAATACTTACCCCAATACAATAAGCGAGACGAAGAATATTACACTTACGAAAATTGTGCAGGTATGTTCCTATTTTCTTGTGTCATGTTCATGTTAAAAAAATATAATGGTCACATGTTATCTTTTAAAACAAATATTATTGCGAGCTCCTCCGTACTTCGGAAGATACGTTAAGCCATTGATCCTGACTGCATCTGATCTCGTTTTGAACCCACCAATATGCAAAGGTGTTCAGGGCCCAACCTCCCATTCCATCCATTGGGAAGGTCTGTATCCAAGCAAAGGGGACATTAATAGGCAGATGATGATGATGATTTATCTTTCATTGTTACGTCATATAGATAAATGAATGAAACACACCTTAATTATATGATGTGTTAAAGCTTAGAATACCCGTAAGCCGTACCTTACTAATGGGAAACCGCGGTATAAATAGGTACCACTCGCACGAAGTTCGTCAATCTAGATCTTTACATCAATGACGTTGAGTTATCTTAGAATTTGAAAATTTAAAATACGAATAACCTTACTTACTGTTCAGACCTCGATGGCGTAAGTGGTTAGCGCGTTCGGCTGCAATCGTTGAAGTTAAGCAACTTACGCAGTGATCGGTTATTGGATGGGTGACCAAAAATTTACTATCTCGAGCTCCACCGTGCATCGGAAAGCACGTTAAGCTGTTGGTCCCGGCTGCATCTGCAGCCAGCCTTCCAGCCATAGAGAAGGCCTGTGCCTGACAGTGGGGACATTATTAGGCTGATGATGATGATAATCGTCTCGCCGTTTTGATACGTTTCAGATACTGGCCAAGAGTCGTGTTGAGATCAACTGTCACCGACTGATTAATTGCTTGGTAAAAGTATACAAGCCCGAAGACACTGATAACGAATCTAGTTCTAGCACTGCAGAAAGTTTGGAAATATATCAGTAAGTATACAAATAAAACAACACGATATTTGCTAAAATGTGTAGGTATGTCAGGTTCGTAGCATAAAGTTGCAAAACTGTACCTATTTATGGAGGTCTAAGTCCTATTTATGTTGATCTTTACTTGTGTACAGTTAGAAAGGGATATCGTTATGTGCTTTATATAGCGACATCCCTTTCTAACTATGCTCAAGACTAGAGATCATACACTGAGAATCTTTCTATAATATGGACCTAAAAGCAACGATATTAAATACCACTACACTAAAACGAAACCTGCCCAAAAGGTACATTGGACGATTCACGGAGCTCCGTAAGATGATCGCGTAGTCAAAAACAATATAAAGCATTATTTAAATATTATAAGTCATCTTTAATGCATACTGTATAAGGTCTTAATTAAAACGCATGCGTCAAAGAGTTACGACAGTTCGAAATGCAAGCTCGTAAAATTTTACGACTCATTGCTATATGCGGAATAAATAGTATAGACCTTAATTCCTTGACTCTACGCACAATTATGGAAACGCTTATAGTAATATGGCAGGTACGGACCGCGAGGAAAAGAGACGGCTATATTACCGACCATGCATTTGAATATCACAAATATTTTCTACGAAATCAGTTTATAGTAGGTATTAGAACAAAATTTGCTTCAAATGCGTTTAATTAACAACATTGATTAGATTCCTGTCGAAAAAACTACACTTTAATACAATAAGTATTTTTTTTTTCACGGAGCTCTGCGGCAACTTGACTTTTCAGCGGTCCGCGCGTGACTGTGAACCAAGAAGTGCTTGAGTGGTGTTCAAGCACTTCTTGATTGGGACACATTTTGAGCGCACTTGTTGTATATAGAGTATTTAATATCGTTGTCAGATATGTATGAAATTATAGGCTCTATGAAACAGAATACCGACCCCCTTCCTTACCAAGCTAATAGGATGATAACGGGTTAAAGAAAATGAAATTTCATTCACACAATCCAATTAGATTATCAAAAATAATGAACACGTATTATTTCTTTTGTCAATCGACCATAAAATTACAAAGAAGAAGCGCCTCAAAGTTTGGAAGTGGGGGGCTCGTGACGTCATTTCTAACTAAAAATTGTAACATGACGTGTCATTATGCGCCATTTCAATTTCATCAATATTTCATTCTCTGTATTTTTTTGATTATGTGAATAATGAAAAAATACGTGTCCAAATACATTTTGAAAATCTACCTGATAGGCGAAGGAAAAAAGGTGGTCATCGTCCCTATATTATGATACAATAAATAATTTTGAATTCCAGCACTCTAACAAAGCATATTACACCGCCTACATCAACGGCATCCCGGAATGCGTCCATGGAGAAGAGACGTGAGGCGTTCATAGAAAACAAAAAGGCGAAAATGAAGCAAGCCCGCAGTCTCATAGAACTGAAGAACCAACACAATAAGAAGCTTAACGAGATTCTCAGCGGACAGAATTCCGACTGCGAGGTCAATTACGCCTCGCTGCTCACCAACGAATGCGTTCTGGACATATTCAGCAACGAAGGTTTGTTATAGGTAGCCGCAAACTTCTTGAATAAAACCACAGACAAATAAACTTGCGCAGTAGACGTTTTGTATGTAAAATTGCTACTGCGCAGGCTTCCTTGTCTATGGTCTTTGCTCAAGATTTTTTCCGGGATGTATCGAAATCTTTAATTAATCAATGGCTTTAGACATGGTTTATTGTGATTAACTCTACACAAAAAGATATTCGTATCATTGTACAAGGTTTGACATTTTAAATATGGGTATGGTCTAGTTTAGGTTGAGCAAAAAAAGGCAGAAAATCACAGTATAACGTGAGTTTCTAATGTTTATTTGTGCTTTGAAGCGGAGCTCTTTTAATTTTTAAATATATTTTTTATTTCTATTACAAAGTGTCTGTGACAATTTTAACTACCTTTATTGAATAGCCTAATGACGGACGGTCGGATAGCTTGCTAGCAATGGTTCTGTTGTAACTTTTGAAGATTTAAATCTTTAACAACTAATTATTTATTTTCTTTTTCAGAAAATGTCAACGGAATACTGCAGAGTGAGGAGTTGTACATAGAAATACTATTGGATACAGTAGCTAATATGTCTGCAAATTTACTGGGAACTCACGGCACAAGAAAACTAAAATCAGGTACAAACCAATCCCAAAAAATATCTTACTAATAATATGTAATGAGATGCGACTTTGCTGTCTCATTATCTGGGGAACCTCAAAGGTTAAAAATAAAAACTTCTTGGACACCGCAATCGCTTGTGTAGAAATGTTTAACATATAAATCTGACTGCTCAATGAAATGTTGTGACAGCATGAGATCAATAATTTACTTAAGTAATTACTTATATCACTCTCATACATATGAAGTTGTATCTATATATATAAAACTTAAAGGTGACTGACTGGCATAGTGATCTATCAACGCACAGCCCAAACCACTGGATGGATCGTGCTGAAATTTGGCATGCAGATAGATGTTATGACGTAGGCATCCGCTAAGAAAAGATTTTGATTAATTCTACCCCCAAGGGGATAAAATAGAGAATGAAAGTTTGTATGAAACTTTTTAAATTTTAAACCGATGGGGCTCAGACTTTGCATGCAGGTATAAGAAGAATCATAGATGAATGTCATTGTGTATAATACAAGCCTGAGAACAAAAACTGTAGTCTACACTTCAGCTATACACCAAAGCGAAGCGAGGGCGGGCCGCTAGTCTTTCTATATAAAAATTAATCCCTCTATTTCCTTTGGTCGCGCCATAACTTGGGAAGGACTTTAGCATTACATCATTTTTGTAAAAATTTCTTTTACTCCGTAAAAATACTAAAAAGCAACTAATAAAATTTGGCTTATTTGGAAATTATGCTAAACTAGCCCTTTTGGACTATAATGTAGAATTCATATTAGGCGTAGGTGGTCAGCGATTCTGGAAGTTAAGTAACTTTCGCAATGGCCTGTATTAGATGGGTGACCAAAAACATATTATCTCGAGTGCTTCGGAAGGCACTTTAAGCCGTTTTTCCGGTCGTATTTGCAGTCGTTAGCACCCACCAAGCCATGCTGGGCCCACGTAGTGAGTCATGGTCCAATCCTGGAGTAACGGGTAAAGCCTGTGTCCTAGCAGAGGGGATATTAATATAGTGATGATGATGATGATGACTATTGAAGATGAATTTCGAAATTATGATATCAGTTTATTGCTATAAAAGTGTTCAAATGTTATGTGAAGTGAAGAAGCATTGAAGTTAGTTATTATTTAGCTCACCATCACGTTTTTAGGTCGTATGCAAGCCAGTAAGAAGGCGGCTCACAAAGTTACCGAGTATTATCAGAACATACTGTGGGGCGACGTTGGTAGTTGTCTCGAGCACATAATACTATGGTGGTCTGCATTCCCGTTGGCTGTCAGGTAGGAATTTTACAGTGATGAATAACAAAAAGGAAAGATCCGTATCTGTTACCTTTGTCGCGAATCTTTTGCCTTATTATTTTCAATTAGTTTATTTTTTTATTTAGGAAGAAATGCTATATATGGATGATTAGGTAGAATTAATCCGTATCCGCGGATTTTGACACTGAAAATCCGCATTCGGATCCCTATCCGCGGATATACATTTTTAAAGTTCCGGCACATCACTAGATATTACCAAAAACAGTATAGGACTTTTTTATGTTTTTATATAAGAATTATGCTGCTTCATATTTAAAACAACGAAAAATTTACTAGATCAAAATTACCACTGCCAAGGTTTCAGGCTGGATTCGAATCAGCGTGTTTCGAAATCCGGGCGACTGCACTAATCACATTTTGATTTTGAATAGCCTGAAAACCTTCGCGGATTTTCATTTTAATTTTTGATTCATTTTGAAATGTTGTGATATACGACAGGTAGACAATATTATATAGTAACATTAACTTAACCATTAACAAATAAAAAAAGTAATAAACGTTAAATAAATATGTTTTTGGTTTGATCTATTAAAAGAAAACCTACAAATAATCTTGAATTTAAGTAACTGTAAGATATTTACTAAAACTGTAAGATATTTACGACTAGAGAAATTATAATGAAACAAGTTTATTATATTTAAATTTTCCATTACAGATCTCCAAACACGAGTCAGAATCTACGTGAATGGCTGTTTGGTACTTTCAACGTAAATAGTAAGTGTGCATAAGTTTTCGATTTATAGAAAGTCCAAGTTACAATCAAAGAATTTAATGATCTTAACACCAGTTTTTTTCCTTTTTGGGAGGAAACCGAGTGAAAACAATCTATATTGAAACGATTATTGCCTTAAAAGTAGCAGATCACCGAACAGTGTAGTCTAGCCTAAATTTAATTTGTGTTTTTGTCAATAAGATTTAAATCAGTTAATCTAGAGTACCTACGCACAATCTTTCCTTTTTTTATATGTTCTGCACCCACACTATTCCTTTTCTTTCGGGCTGACGTAGTTCTTCACCAGACGAGCTGCTGTTCAATAGAAATGCTAGTGTTGTAATAAATGTTTGCACTTTAAACCGCCTTATCCCAAAACGCGGAATAAAGTTAGTCTTGGTTTAAACCTAATGTTGCCTGTGTCTTTTTTTTAGAAAAGAAAAGTGACAAAATCAGTATTCATCAGCCATCAGTCCAGGTTCAACTTTAATCTACGTTTTGCAATAAAGCGGAAAGGGTTTTAGCTAAAATAGTTTCTTCCAAATTTTTAGCCCAGCGCATTGGCATCATACGCATTGCTCTATCCCAAACTCATACGTCCTTTTTGCATGCATGTGGTAGTTTTAGGTTGTAAATTCCTGTACCGCAGCGCCACGCATTAGCTTTGATCCAGACTTAATTTTATTTCAATCTTTCTCACGCAGATACTCCAGAGTTGATATTGTCAGCGTTGAGAATATTGGCAGACGCCTTGGGCTGTCATGTTACCACTACATCTTGGGATAAACATTTTGGGTATGTGGCTTTTCTCGTCAACAATGTGTAGGTATCTGCTAAATTCTAAACCTTTCATCAGAACTCCCATTATTGACTTATTAAAATATTTAGTAATTTGAATTCCTTTGGTAAGCAATTTAAGTATAAATATTTTATTATTACAGGGCAACGCTAACAACAAACTTGAAGACTACATCTCTGAAAAACCATCCTGGTCTATCCCTTTTTGTTACAGAGGTAAGTTTTAGAGAACATCAACAAAAATATTATAATTAAGCAAAGTAGAATTATTATAAAGTCTTATTTTAATATAACTTAACTTCTGATGTCTGAATTTGTCTGAATAGGCTACTTGACTCATGTCAAATTGTACTATATAAATGTTTATTTCTTCAAATTTTTGGTATGAGGAACCTAAATACATAGATTTCACTTCATAAAAGTAAAAGATGGCTGTAGTAATTTAATTTAAAAAATAGTTTTTTAGTCTGTCCTTTTTATACACTAAAACGCTGCCCACCATTATTGTGACGACATAAAATTTGTAAACAACTAAATGTCATGGTCGTGATACTGTGGTTTCTTTCGTTTGACTAAAATATATCTAAAAACTTACAACTTGTCGAAAAGTTTCCAATTATTGGTTTTATTGACTAAATTAATGCTAGACGCCGGATTTGTGAAAGCAGAAACCACAAAACTCTTTGACTTAGTACGTACATTTGTAACCTTAAAACTTGTATATTATTCAATAAGTACTTACATCGACGCGATCAAAAATAAATGATTTTCAGTCGATAAGGTTTAACAAGTTTCAAACATGTGTTCATGTGTAGGTATGTTTATTTCTCTAGGCAATTAAAATCACAAGTTTTCTGGAGTCTAACGATGTCTTTCTACATTCTCGTACAATATAATCATGATAATTACTATATTTTTCGTAAAAACTATTAGAAATCATAATTTTATAATATAAACTCAGATAGGTTATTTCCTACGTGCTTGCGAGTGTTTGTTTACAAATATTTTGACGTCATAGCATAGATACATCTTTAGACCAAAATGGCCGACAGCGTTTTTGATTGTCCATGAAAAATTAAAGTTTTGTAGCTTTCTAGGTAAAAAATAAATACAATAATTTTTTTTTCGGTCTACTCGAATAATTATTAACCATTTAAAAGCTATTTCCAAAAAGTGACAACGTGACAACTTAGGCTAGTTCAGAAACATCGAGACAAAGTTTATTTTTTTAACTATTTTTCGGGATTTCATTTGTAAATAACCATAATAAGATAAGTCACATAGAAATATTTTTGCTCTTCCACTACTCTTCCTCTTCTTATGGCCACTATGGCACCAAAATTCTTAGCTTAATTTAGTTTTGCAAATCATTTCATCTTTCTCAATTTATTGAATTCAAAAGAGATGAAATTAAGCTTCAACATAATTTTACTTTTCATTTCAATTAAGAACGGCCATTATGTGCGACATGGAATTTCTAACCTATGGAGTGCGCAATAGAGCGTATTATCATAAACATTTTTGCGCTTTCAAGTGTACTTCTTCAGGAGCTAACTTCGCTATAATGCTGCAAAACCTGGTTCGCCTCAACAACCAGTGTGAAGTTACTTGGGAGTACATCCTGGGGGCGCCGTTAGAAGACTTGCCTATTGTTGAACAGATCCCTATTCTACATAGATTAGGTGAGCTATGTAGTACCTAGTCTATCACACTAACAACGGAGAGCTATAGTCTGCCAAAGCATATAGTCTTTTAATAATTTTATTTTAATGATATATTTTATATCTTGTAGTCGAGATGATTCCAGATTGTGGTTATCACTTTAATAAGTAATTTATAAAACGATAAAATTAGGGGATTGTCATATTTGAATGATTATCACTCGTTTTTTAATTGTTAAACATACTCACAGTCATAGTCTCTCATCGAAGCCTCGCAGCCTATTTAAGTACACTTGTATGTCCATACTACTGAAGATAGTACAAGACGTTCCTATCCGACGAGATGTTCAAAAATCGCTTGGCCGGTCTGACATTTATCTGCTCAGTTTTACTTTACAGTTGGTCAGGGAATAATCAGTCAACTTGGTATATCTAAGGTCGTGTTGTTTTATCTATAGTTAAATTTGACTATAGATAAAATACTAGAAAAAAAATTAACATTTGTCAAAATTGGACACATTTACTATGTATTTGACGTGACATTAACTATAGTCAAATTCAACGACGTAACATTTGAGGATGTAATGTTACTATCCCTACAAATAGCGAGCGGATACGAAGTGAAACACCGTAGAAGAAATACAATTCGTATACTGACAATAATAATCGAGATATTAACAATAATTGTATTGGAAAAGACGGAAGGACGAGTGACGTGGAGTTGTGTGCGAGGAGATTCGTAGCACACTGCGCTGCCGGCCAAGCGTAGGCTTTTTGAAAATATATCGATGTATCGATATTTTTTGTTCGATATATCGATATTTTTTGCCGATATATTTTGATTCGATATATCGATACATCGATACAAAATAACCAATATCGAAATTCGTATCAAAAACGATATTTTTTTAATTATTAGCGGCATATCACGATCTAACTAAATTTGTATCTGGAAAAATCGTAACTGGATCTCAGATTAATGATATTCAACATATCTATGATCTGTGCTGTATTTAGTATTGTCTATTATTTGTAAATCTGTTTCGCTGGTGAATTGGTTGTGCTGATTTCCATTATATTCTGTGGAAGTGTGTAACTGTCTAGTCTTGTTTACAAAAGATGGCAGCTGAGAGGCCCTGCAATCATTTTCATCATTCGGAAATAGGGTCTATTTTTAGATATTTTTCTTTCCATTATTATTCCGCGTGTCATATTTCGTGAGATACTGTACTGCCATGTAGTGTAGCGGCAATTTGGTACTTTGATAATTCTTTCTTTAATTATAATTTGTATTGAACTATTACTGTGCTAGGCTGACCTAAATATATTTTTGGGAAAATTGGTTCGATATATAGATATATCGATGTTTTTTTCAACTTTCGACATCCCTAGCCAAGCGACTGGGAGCAGGTTCCAGACCGGTCCGCGTCTCCCGCATACCGCGCCCCGCGACATACGCGTTCGTGACGTTGCCGCTGTTAGTGATGAGGGCACGACGACACGTAGTGATGTGCCACGCATTAACTATAGCCACAGTGGCGGCGCTAGGCGTCGGCGACGTTGGCCACCGCCGACGGGCTCGCGCCTGAGGGGGCCTCGCAAAAATTTTTTACCAGTTACTTATTTATTTTCGTTTCTCCTGGCTTGGCTTAGGTAGCCGACCCCGAACAATTCGGGGAAAAAGCTAAGCAGATGATAATGACTTTTATTATTTTCGAACACGTGCGTGATGGAAGCGAGTAGTACTTTACGCGTATTCAGAATCGTCGGTCTGGCAACACTATTTTTGTAATTAAATTTCTATGTTTGTAATTATTTTTTGTCATCATTTGATTATCAACAATAAAACTCGTTTACTCATACGTTATTTTATGTTGTGTTTACCTTAAATAATTTGTGCTTTTAGCTATAGTTCTATCGCTGTAATATTTACAATGTATAATTGTAACAATTGCTTGTAAACCTAATAAAAAAATATACCTTTACGATTTTAAACTTGACGAAGTATTAACAAATCTAAAAACCAAGGTTTTTTAATAATTTTTCCGTCACTTGTAGACCACTCTATCCACACTTACCGCCTCTGGTGTGTTGGCGAGACCCGTCGCTTGGCGAACACTTGGGATATGGGCGGGTTCTTCCGCGTCGCCCACGACGATATGCGTGCGTGTGCTGAACAACTGCAGGATCTGCGGTTTGCCGACCACACGCCAACTATAGAGGCCGGTGAATACCTTATCTTTTCGTCCCATACTAAGGCATAAGCGGCTACATTCATACAGGTGCAAGACCTACGCTTTGTGGACCGCAGACTCACTATAGAGGCCGGTGAATATCTTATCCTCCCATGGTAAGACATAAGCAGCTACATTCATTCAGGTGCAAGACCTACTTTGTGGACCAGAGACTCACTATAGAGGCCGGTGAGTACCTTAGCTTTATCTATTCCTCCCATAGTAAGGCATAAGCAGCTACATTCATTCAGGTGCAAGACCTACGCTTTCTGGACCGCAAACTAAGTATAGAGGCTGAGTACCTTATCTTATCCTTCCATAGTAAGGCATAAGCAGCTATATTCATACAGGTGTTGTGGACTGCAGACTCACTATAGAGACTGGTGAGTACCTTATGTTTATCTTATCCTCCCATAGTAAGGCATAAGCAGCTACATTCATACTGGTGCAAGACCTACGCTTTATGGACCGCAGACTCACTATAGAGGCCGGTGAGTACTTTATCTTACCCTCCCATTGTAAGGCATAAGCGAAATCGGTAGCCAAGGTCGCTTATGCCTCACTATGCACTTTAGAGGCTGGTGAGTTACAGGCATCATCAGCATATAACTGACCCCACTGCTGGGGCACAGGCCTTCCCTGTGTATGGCATCTAGGGAGAATGGGCTATGTATGTCCCACCACGCCCGTCCCGAATGGTGGATGCTAACGACTGTGGATGTTGGAACCAATGACTTAATGTGCCTTCCAAACCACGGAGAAGTTCGAATTAATAAGTATTCGGTCACCCATCCTAGCAGTGGCCGCGACGTAAGTTGCTTAATTTACACGATCGCAGACCAGCACCAACGAGTACAATAAAAGTATTCCTTTTCAGGTAAAATCGGTGTACACGAAAATGTTTGCGCGAAAATGAGAGAAAAGTTGGTGTCCGAAGTGAAAGTTAATATACAAAAACTTAAGGTAAGGTAACACTTTTTTAGCCCTAAGCGCGAAAATGAGAGAAAAGTTGGTGTCCGAAGTGAAAGTTAATATACAAAAACTTAAGTTAAGGAAACACTTTTTTAGCCCTAAGAATACATATTTTTAATTAAAGTATAATATTTGCACACAATCATTTTCATAACTTCTCGCTTTGCGTCTGGTAGAGCACTAACGGCTGCAGTCAAAAGAGTCAATTTACTTTTATGTTTGACAAAGTTGATGCTCACTTTCTTTGCGATAACAATAAAATGAGACAACATTGTATTTCATCAGTATGTATTTTAGGGCTTAAAAAACTCATATATGCGTTTGGGTCAACTCAAACTTAATATATTGTTAGGGTACTTAGATGAGATAGTATCAGTGCTATCGTCAGTGTGCGCGACCACGAGTCTGGCACACTTGACGATGATGTGCTCGCTTCGTTTGGGTCAACTCAAACTTAATATATTGTTAGGGTACTTAGATGAGATAGCATCAGTGCTATCGTCAGTGTGCGCGACCACGAGTCTGGCACACTTGACGATGATGTTCTCGCTTCGTTTGGGTCAACTCAAACTTAATATATTGTTAGGGTACTTAGATGAGATAGCATCAGTGCTATCGTCAGTGTGCGCGACCACGAGTCTGGCACACTTGACGATGATGTTCTCGCTTCGTTTGGGTCAACTGAAACTTAATATATTATTACTGTCCTTAGATGAGAAAGTATCAGTGCTATCGTCAGTGTGCGCGACTACAAGTCTGGCACACTTGACGATGATGTTCTCGCTTCGTTTGGGACAACTCAAACTTAATATATTGTTAGGGTACTTAGATGAGATAGTATCAGTGCTATAGTTAGTGTGCGCGACCACGAGTCTGGCACACTTGACGATGATGTTCTCGCTTCGTTTGGGACAACTCAAACTTTATATATTGTTATTACTCACGTCAGGACGCCACAGATGAAATAGTATCGGTGCTATCGTCAGTGTGTGCAACCACGAGTCTGGCACACTTGACGATGATATTCCCGCCGGCGGCCGCGTGGCGCCGCCTAGTGTGCGTCGACCCTAACTTCTCTCTCTACGTACACCAATTCCTAGGTCAGTCCCTGAATCTTTGTTTGAAATTTATTAAAATTTTAAAATGTTTATGATAAATGTGTAGGTTTTAACTTTGAACTCGCTTATACATATTAACTAGCGGGTGCTCGCGACTTTGCCTGTGTGGTTTAATAATTGAATTCTCATACAAAACTTCATCCTTTTACCCTATTCGTTTTTTACTTCCATTCCTTTACCGACAGAAGTAGTTTACGACCGTCTCCATAGTCCCATCTATCTCTAAACAAAATTTTAGCACAATCAATATATATTGGTTTAGCTCACTTTCTTCCATAATATAAGTCAGCATAATGACTCATCAAAAACTGGAATAGTGAAAATACCTTTTTATGAAAACATAATTAAAGTTGATCACTGAAGCAGCTACTAGTATGTTCAAAACAACTATGAGGATCAATTTAAGTGTGATAGAAGTATCTTACTATCTACTTTGCTCATCTGGTCGGTACTTATGCCGATTACGTCCTGATCTGCAAGTCGCACCTCGTTTTTGTAACATTTTTCGTCAGTGCGTCAACAAAACCTTCGTTTTAATATTAACTACTATTTACTTTTTCAGACAAAGTGTTATTACCAGTTGCTAAAGCGACGCAAGATATAACTACTCTGAACATGGTGCTACGAATAATGTGTGAGTCTTGGCTGCATCACATTTATGTGGTCAAAGTTAGGTTTAGGTAAGTATTTCCCTTAATATGACAACGTATTTGGATATGACATAGAAAGTGACAGCATCATTACAAATTAACTTATAGTGTCGTTTTATAATGTTTCTCCCACAACTGAGCCACCCAAAGCTTCGTCAGCTTCGGGTGGCTTATGAATTTCTAATCTAATTTTGCATTGAACTTAATTCTGACTTGATTTTCTAAATTTAAACATAATTTAACATCAATATCTCCTTTTTATACTGCATGGAGCAGGATAAGCCAAAGGAAAATTTGATTCAGAGGTCCATCTTTCTATTTACTTTTAAAGTTTCAAAATTAGCAATAAATTCAATCCGTCTTATAACAAAACGTAGTCTAAAGTTAAAGCAGGACTTAAACTAATGTCACTTTTGTTTGCTAAAAACAAGTCTGAGACTACATTAGTATTAAACCAAGCCTAACTTTAGACTGCGCTTTGGAGTAAGCGGTTTTAACCACAAAAAGCTAGTCCAGTATTCAATCTGAGTTTAAGAAGAAAATTTGATACAACATTTCTTTAAATATCTTTTGCCGTCTTATTACAATACGTAGACTAAAGTTAAACCCGGACTAAAACTGATGCTGTCTCTTTTATTTGCTAATAAAAAGACAGAGACAACATTAGGTTTAAACCAAGACTAACTTTAGTCCGCATGTCGGCATAAGGTGAGTCGTTTCTTACTTAAGTAACTTACTTTTTGTGGTACAACCTTAACATTTTGTCGTAGGCTGGCATATTAATTAAGTGTTTGATTAATTTTATGGAATTTACAATTGATAGAACAGAATGATTGACACTTATCCACAGCAGCACCTTTTAATTTGGTATCAGCTTACCTATTGTAACTCAATCGGAATATCCGCCGACTAGGAAGCTTGTCGTATCTTTATTTTATTTATATCATATTAATAATATTTTTGTTTACACTTTATGGGGGAACGCTGCCAGTATCTTTGCCTAAAGGGACTCCTTTTAATAATGTATTTTAAATATTAACTGCAAGGTGCATATTGTAAAACTAATGTTTATGTATCATTTTATTCTAGTTTAATAAGACATAATTAAATGTATAAAAATATAAAAAGAAAACTCACTTTTTGTAATTTTGAATATTACCTTTTATTGGGATTTTTATGCATATAATATGGAGGTATTATGGAGCTCGATGGAGCAGGTGGTTAGTGCATTCGCCATTGTATTGGTGATCGTAAAGGTTAAGCAACAGTCGCAATGGTCTGTCAATGGATGGGTGACCAAAAACTTATTAATTCGAGCTCCTCCGTGCTTCGGAAGGCACGTTAGCCCATTGGTCCCGGCAGCTTCTGCAGTCGTTAGCACCGATCAATCGGCACTGGGCTCGCTTGGTAGGTCACGCACGGCCTAGTCTCCCTATTCTATCTATAGGGAACATTATTGAGGGATATAAGTAGGGTGGTGATAATGTTGAAGATAATTAGAGATGGGCCGTCTATAGTATTTGCCGACTAATCGGTTTTCGAATTGCCGACTAGTCGGCCGACTATTCTGCAATGTCGATGATTCTATTACCTATCTTAGGAAGGTGTTCGGAATATTTCGTCACTATGCGGCTTGCTCACGCATGACACGAGTCCCCCCAAATCAAGCCGAAATATTCACGTTCCAACATTACAATTTGCCTCTAAGGAAAAATAATTTTACCTATGAACTTCTTATAGACTCGCTAGCACTAAGATTTTACTCAATACATACTTACTTCCCATTGCTTTTTTGTTATGTTCGATATTCATTGTGTTAAGTTATCTGAATTACGGACAAATTCCTAAGTTCCTAATTCTTATTATGATACCTTATTTTTTTAGCATTTTAAGACTGTAGGTAACTTTAAATACATACTCTAGGTACTGTTCAAATATTAAAAACAAGCAGAAGTTTTGAGTTTTATTACATTGTTTTGTCCCGATTATAATCGGCACGATTTGCCAAATAGTCGCCGACTATAAACGATGCCGAATAGTCGTCTTTCCCGACAAGTCGGCGGCTAGTCGGCCCATCTCTAATGATAATATATATAATCCATCACTGGTTTTAATATTACACAGTAAAGAAGCGGCGTCGCAATTGCTCGCCGATTTCAACGAAGTAAGAAATTGGTTAACCGCCTGCAAGAACTTGTCGACCACGGCCAAGAAGCAAATGCTGCAAAATGAAGTGCTAAGGTATACTTACTTACTCATGTCATAAACCGGCACTTCACTTGGCTGTTCGCTGTATTTGCTCTTTGTAAACTTGACAACAGTTTGTCCTTATCATGATTTATAAGGAATGAAAAGGACAGACAGATGTCAAGTTTACAAAAAACACGAATAGCCAAGCGTAGTGCAGGCTCTTAAAATCATCAACATTCCATGAAAGAACTCGGCGCTTCGGCGGTCACATGACATGACCGAACGAGAACTAATGTCATTTATCACACTAATATTATAAAGGAGAATGTTTGTGGGTGTTTATGTTTGTTACTTCTTCACGGCTAAACGGCTGGAGCGATTTTAATAAAAATTGGTATGGAGTTAACTGACAACTTGGATTAACACATAGGCTACGTTTTACTGTGGGAAAATAGCCCTAATAAACCGCGGGGCACGGCTATAGTCTGTCCATTCTATTATTATCTTTTTGACAGATCGATCGAAAAAATAGTGACACACTATCACATAACTCGTTCGATATAAAGCTATAATCGATTTTATAATAGAACATTGTTTAATCGATTATAAGTATCGAAATTATTTTAGTTATCAAAAATACTGGTGTTTAATAAATTATTACAAAATCTCAATAGATTTATTATTTTACCTAGTACAAATATTTGTGTGATGAGCACGAGTATTTGTTCTGTGTCTGGGTGTGATTTATCTATAAAACGTATGTTTAAACAACAAAAAAGCAGTATACTTTTTATATGTTTGTTTATCCTAATACTAATACAATTAGATTTATTGATTATAATTAATACAAAGAAACGTCAGCCCCGTCGAGTTATAGCTGTTGACAGATTTGATACCGATGCTATTCGTCGTCATATGTATGACTATTTATCAAAGAAAAGAAATCCCAACCTTAAAAAAATGGCTGTCACACTGCGAAATAGTGGTTTGTTTCGCGGTCAAAAGTGTTACGTTAAAAAGTAGAAATAGTAAACATTTTAAATGAAAAGAAACAACCAAAACTGCATGTCATTGATGAAAGGGCAGCAGAATGTGGACATATTGTGCTCAGACTCCCACCTTACCATTGCCAGTACAATGCTATTGAGCTGATATGGGCACAAGTAAAAGGAAACCCCACCGCGACGCAAGAAAGAACACTACTCCACCGTTAACAACAAACCAGATGATGGAACTTTTAAATAACGCGTGTGGTGATGTTACACCTGAAATTACTGGGCGGGTGTTGTTGAACGAACAGAGAACATTATAATATCTGACTGGGATCGAGATGTTGCCTTGGACAATATACAACCTAATGAACTCATCATTAAAACTGTGGACACATCTGACGATGAGTCCACTTTTTATGAAGAATCTGATACGTCTGAATAAATTAAAAATAAACTAAGAAGACATTTAGGTTTCTACCTTACCAAATTGTACTCATTTATTTCTATTTGTAATCTGTGGCACAATCTTAATAATCGTTGTGTGGCACATCACTAAGTGGCGGTACCCGTCCATGAAGTACAATATTATTTGTGTGACATTTTAACGTAAACAATACAAAATTTCATGGGCGTCGATCTGCCAAAAAGATAATAATAGAATGGACAGACTATAGTATGAGATAAATGAGATAGTTATTAGACTATCAGTCAGTCCCAAAGTCTTGTCTAAGGTGAATGAACTTTTGTATCGCTTCTTGTTGGCCGTACTTTACATAACTTGCTGTTTGTGCTCAATGCTAATATAAAAATTTGTTCAGGCGATGCGAAGGCGTCGGTCGTCTCCTTTTGCACGCTCCTGGAGATTTGATATCGATGCACGACTCAACCATGCAGTCTGCGCAACAACTTAGGAAGGATGGTAAGTAATCATTGTACAGGGTGGCATTAACGAAACAAAGGAGTTTTAATAGTCTATAATTAATTTCTTCATGCTGCTTATATTTAAAGATCGGGACAAACGATTTAACAGAATAATAAAAATAAATTAATTCATGTCTTTTTTACTCCAATAGACCAATTAAAGTTGAATTTATTTAAAATGGTTTTGAATATACCGCCAAAACGCTCGTTCAATGACGTCTACTGTGTGACAGTTTTAAAATATTTGGAAAATACCCTATTTTCTAGTTATATTTTCTTTAGATTTAAACATCAAGCAGTTACATGCTTTAAAATAATAAAAATTATAAATACCCTATAGATATTGTAACACTTTCTTAATGGGAAATTTAGTGCGTAAATTTCTAGTCACCCAGGATGGACCACCAATTGGTATAGCTGCTTAACTTTCACTATCGTAGACCGGACACGCTAAGAGTCATGCTATCAATTTTCTTCCTTTCTATAAGCTATTAATCTTACAGAGAGAGTGGCGATGAGTCTGCTGTGTACCACATTACTATTTATGTATTTATCTCAAATTAGGTGCTTGAATTGTATTACCCTGCGGTATCAATCTATGAAGTAAATATTAATCGATTTTCCAAATTATGAAACGTAATTGTATATAGGTAGAAAAAAAGCCTTTAAAGTACGCTCTGTTCGTTACCTTCTCCCATAACATAAGCCTGTGTACAGTGCCCACTTTGTGGCTAGGCTAATAAGTGTGTTGGAAATAATTATTTATATCCGTATCATAAACTTATCTAACATATAATCGTATGATATTGTCTAGCAGCCCCGGAGAGTGAATCCGCTGAACAACTGATGCCTGCGGAAATGTACGTTCCCAACCAGAAGCAGTGGCTACAACTACGCGCGCGCACAATACGCGGCCCACTCGCCTTTTCACTCTGTTGCATGGTGCTATGTTGAGATAGCACTATAGATATCGAATAAACTATATTTTGTATAAAAGGAAGTTGTTTCATTGCCGCTTTAAGTATTACCACCTTAGAAGCAGTGGCTAAAACTACGCAGGCATACAATTTTAGGCCCGCCCGCCTTCTCGCTCCGAGGCCCAACACAAACTGATAGCTCCGTAATCGTATCGCATCGTCCAAGTTTCTATGAAAACTTAGCAGCGCCCCTAACGGACGTAAGAACAAACTGGCTCTTTCCATATAAATTCCACGTTGACGATATGATTGCGGAGATGTCAAAGTATATAAGATATTCAAACTTTATGGTGACTGTAAAGTTAGTAGGGAACGCAACATAGCTAGGTTGAAACCGTAATTCCATTTCGTACGTCCCGACTCACGCGAACTTCACAACCGCCATTGAGTCCGCATATAGCTGAATCGCATCACAAGGGTTGTCTATCCTAACGTTATCCCCTAATTCCATGAAGATCTGTCGGCTGTAGTTTACTGTAAAGGTACAAGTCCAAACTGAACCGCAGACAGCAAGCCGCAGCTGCAGACTGCAGGCGACACTACTAGTTTCTATTAATCTCTATGAAATTGATTCCGAGCGCGGCGACATTGCGGCCTGCAGCCGCGGCGCGCAGACTGCGGCGTGCAGCGACCGCAGTCTGCAGTCCCAGTGCTGTCGCGGACCGCAGAAATGTCACATGTAATTAAAAAATTACGTCTTTTACGGATGATGATAAAAAGACGTTAATTAACTTTGTTTCTTGTCATACAGTCCTTTACGACACATCCGATCTAAATTAACGCAATAATTTGATCAAAGATAATGTGTGGAGAGCAATAGGAAAGAACTTAAATAAAAATAATGAGTACCTATCGAAATGGGTGAATTTATGCTATTTGAATTCCAATGGTCCGTAGACAAATTTTATGTTAAACTTATAATATTATTGTTTCTGTATGCTTAAACAATAAAGAATATGGTCTTTTATTTGGCCCAAATAGTTCCTCTTCTAACAAAAGCCACATTAGTAAATTATCGTTAGCGTTGTCCGACATTTTGTCTCGCACGAAGGTATTGGAGTGACTGAGGCATGGTTCTAAGTATTGTGCAGCCGCGCTCGGAATAGATACTGCCACGACCGCAGGCAGCACTGCGGTCAGCCGCAGGTGCTAGCCCCAGTGTCGCCTGCGGTCCCAGTTTGCAGCCCATTGCGGAATTGTACCTTAAGGTGGATGCTTCTCCAAAGGGGCATTAACGCTGTACCCTACATATTTTGTATTAAAGTTTTATTTCGCATAAAACTCATAGCTTCGTACTAATATACTTACTGTGGTTATGATCTAGAAATTCAGATATTTTTAAATATGCCCTTTTCTTTGATTTTATTGTTTAAAATTTATTCTGCCGTATATGCCTCCGTAGATATGTAAATTAATTGTATCATTTATTGTACAATAAAATGCAATAATTAAGTTCCCACTTTATTCTTATTAAACTATCACATTTAGCACTTGATTTATCAGTAAAAGCTTATTTTTTTTATATTGATTTTACGATCAGATCATCATGAAAATATACGAAGTATCTCAAATATTCATATGATGATGGAATGATCTCACATTAAACAGAATTATAGTGACTGAATTATAGGGAAGGCCTGTGCCCCAGCAGTGGGGACATTAATAGGCTGATGATGATGATGATAGTGATTGATTCATCACATCATTTAACAATATAAACCATCGACTGCAACCAAGAGATATCCGAGATTCAATACTTCATAACGTGTATGTAACGTGTTTACATATTGTATTATACTCGCAAATTCAGTGACAGTACCAATTTTAATCTGTCGTAAACTTTAATTTGTCGCCACTGGGTGCAACCGTAAGTATTGTAATTTATACTGATAAAAGTTTTGATTTATCTTTGATCTTTGTCAATGGAATAGTATGAATACAAACAAAAACAACTTAATATGTTAATCTTAGATTAATATTTGATCACAAAAAAAAACATTTGATCTAGTCATTTCAATAAACTATAGAATCCAACCAAAAGATTACGGAATCTTCACAGTAGTTAACGCTGCCATAGCTTCATAATGATACTTTCACTGATGGCAGAATGATTGAGCTCACTTCCCTCAAAGTCAAAATATTTGTAAGGTAACAATTTATTTAACAATATTTCGTTTATAATATCAAAGTCCCGTGAAGAGTTTTTCTGTGATTTTATAAGCTGTGTGCAGCACGAGTTTTGAAACAAGCTTCTTTCCTATATTTTGTTGCTTATAGAAAATTGTAGCAGTATACTGTATTTTCTTCAAAGTAACGAACGCTCGAATCCAATTTAAAATATGTATCTCGTAAATGCGTAACATCATGCACTTTGCTTCATTGCACATCAATATTAAGAACTCTTCGGAATCACTAATCGTCATCAGAGTCGGATTTCCTACATTTCTCTTTCAACTTTTCATATTCGTTGCGCCTTATAAGGTCCTCTTTGAGCCTCTCCATATCGCTGAGCAGACTGCTGACTTGTACATCGCTAAGTTTATCAGCGGAAACTGATTCATTATCGCTGTCTAAGCCTGAATCTTCGTCAGATTTTTCAGCAACACTTCTAACTTCCTCGTCAACACTTCTGGCTTCTTCATCGGATGCGGCATGGGTGCTGCTTTCATCGGAGCTTTCACAGTTACTCTTGTTGAGTCTATAGGCTTTAGGCACCCGGTCGTCTAACGGGTTTCGTCTGCGAGTGTCGTCCTTCTCTGACGACTGGGAAGAATGACCGGCCCTGCGCTTCGACTTCTTCTTCCTCATACTCTTCGCGATCACGCGTTTCTGATGGTCCAACTGCGGGAACAACTCTGTGAGGACAAAATAAAATGTTTTTAATGCTAAAATATTAAGTGGTAGTGCACTCCGTAAGTAAAGGAGTAACATACGTTTATTAATTTACATACAAGAACATTAAGACCTGATATAGCAACAATTAGAGGGTAATGTTTATATTCAAACAATTATTACATGGTAACAATTTTATTACTAGTTAGTTTATTATACAGCCTGGACCCAGTGCGGATAAGGTTCATAGCGGATTCGGCTTAGGCGGATTGCTTTCAGTGCCCTCCCCTATCCATCTCAATATCTTCCTATTCTATAAAAAAAGTATTCTACCCACTAATCCGTACAGGAGCCGCGTGTTCGGCCATGGCCCTTTCCCTTAATTCCATCAAACTGTTAAACAAAACTTCAATCCAATTCCATATCTATTTAGCTATCCGCCCAGCTTCCTAGGTAGCTACCTCAATATTCTTTGGGTGCACGATTACAGCGCCAACTAGCGGTTAAAATTACGGCGGAATTTGAATGTAATGGTGCCTCCACCTGCCTAAAATTAATGCGGGTGAAACCACAGTTCATCTCTAGTATTAGATAAGGCACCGGTAGATTACCGTGTGCGGTAGTTAGCGCCAGTTCTGCCGCGTTCATCTCGGCCTCCTGTATGGAGTGGCCGCGGGCTGCAGCCAGTCTGGTGCCGCGGAAGTACACGCCCACAGTGTACACGCGAGTGTTCGTCGGACCGAGGCACTCGATCACTCTGCGAACAAAATCATATTATTTAGATTGACAAAAAATATGCGAGCCGTTTTAAATACACAGTCAGGTCATAAGTATTGTCACACAGTAAAAACTTTTCTTTTGGAATGCTGGCCATAAAACAGTTTATTGATTCGAATTTCGAATTGTTCATGAAAATAAAAATGTATACTTTTTAGAATTTTACTCATTTTTTGCAGTCGTAAATAGCTACCAACTCGAATTTAACAGAGTGAGATTTATAGCTAACACCAGCCAAAGATTTTGCTCAGAGTACAGCGAGTTAATCTTTCAGTGCACTTTGGTCAACCGTGAATTTTATTTTCCAGTGGAAGGTTTATCGAATACGCGTCTTGTTCATCCGCTGAAGTCGCTGTCCGTATAATAATAATTTATTTCAGAATTACAATGCCGTATCAGTTAGTGACATTTTATTACTTAAAACATGTTATTGGTGTGTACTTCTCAGTACATTTATGAAAATTTAATGTATGTTCGGATAAATAAAGCATTATTTCCTATAAATAGAGATAAGCACTTGCTTAATACTAGAAATAAAAATAAATAAGCTGTACCTATTACAAGGCTTCACAAAATCAAGAATTCATTTAAAGGTCTTTGTGTACGCTTCTACAATAAAGTCCCTAGCAATATCCAAAAATCGACAATAAATTTTAAGATACTATTAAAAGAGTTCTTATTAAGAAAGACTATTATAAGGTGTCTGATTATCCTTACTAATATTATAAAGGCGAAAGTTTGTTTGGATGGATGGATGTTTGTTCCTCTTTCACGCAAAAACTACTAAACGGATTTTAATGAAACTTTACAGTAATGTAGCTTATAGATCAGAATAACACATAGGCTATAATTTATAAAGATATTGTGTGAATTGTCCAAAATATAACGATAAATGTCATTTAAGTCTGAAAAAATTCTGCAATCTGCGAGCTATTCAGGCGTGTGCTGCAAAAACAGTTAGTGCTACATGTATATAATGTATGGTGAAAATATTTATCTTAAATAGTCCTACAAAAAATTCTGCGACACCATATATATCTATCTTTTATGAGTAATCCTTACTAATATTATAAAGGCGAAAGTTTGTTTGGATGGATGGATGTTTGTTCCTCTTTCACGCAAAAACTACTAAACGGATTTTAATGAAACTTTACAGTAATGTAGCTTATAGATCAGAATAACACATAGGCTATAATTTATAAAGATATTGTGTGAATTGTCCAAAATATAACGATAAATGTCATTTAAGTCTGAAAAAATTCTGCAATCTGCGAGCTATTCAGGCGTGTGCTGCAAAAACAGTTAGTGCTACATGTATATAATGTATGGTGAAAATATTTATCTTAAATAGTCCTACAAAAAATTCTGCGACACCATATATATCTATCTTTTATGAGTAATATAATATAAAACTCAAAGGTGACTGACTGACATAGTGATCTATCAACGCACAGCCCAAACCACTGGACGGATCAGGCTGAAATTTGGCATGCAGGTAGATGTTATGACGTAGGCATCCGCTAAGAAAGGATTTTGATCAATTCTACCCCCAAAGGGATAAAATAGGGAATGAAAGTTTGTATGAAACTTTGTCAATTTTAAACCGATCGGGCTGAGACTTTGCATGCAGGTATAAGAAGAATCATAGATGAATGTCATTGTGTTTAATACAAGCCTGAGAACAAAAACTGTCTACACTTCAGCTCTACACCGAAGCGAAGCGAGGGCGGGTCGCTAGTATTTCATAAACAAATGCTTGGGTTTAAACTGTTCCAAACGTTCCGGCAGGCTGTTTTAGGGTTCCGTAGCTAAATGGCAAAAAACGGAACCCTTATAGATTCGTCATGTCCGTCCGTATGTCACAGCCACTTTTCCTAAATTATGATGAAGATGATATGATTTTGTATTGACACCGTAACAATATAACATTTTGGAAATATTATTGCATAATTATTTCACGCTGTGAAGTTTTTTACGCCAGTTTTTCTCCACTGCTTAAAAAATGTCCTTAACTGGTGGAGTTGAGAGTTGTATTGTGTATCCAAATTAAATAGTTTTTTGACTTGACTTTGACTGTGAGTCAAGTCTCACCAACATCGTTTACGCACCGCAGTACCTATGCAACCCGAGCAGCATTCTAAACGCATCGTTATTTTGCACACTTGTTTTGTTGAATATATTTATCAATCGTTAAATTTAACTAATAAAAAAAATTAACACATATTTTCGATAAATATTTCCAACCATATCGAATAAAAATATTAATTCATGTAGATTTGAATGCGAGAGTAATATTAATTCGTATAGATAAATGCAACCGACTGCTAATATTCTCGTAATAAATAATTTCAATCACAGGCTGAACTAATAAAAATATTGACAATTAATCAATTTGTGAAAAATATTCAGATATTGTGTTTGAATAAAAATACATTAACTGATATTTTCAACCTTTAAAATAATCTGATATTTTTAATTCAATCTTTAACTCTATTTGCACACGCAAAGCGCTTTATGTACGCTGTGTGAATTTCACCCACAGAGTGCACGTATATAATGTTTAACAGTGTGTTCTTAAATATAAGCTTTCACACAGAACCCTCAGATAAATGTAAATGGCCCTAGCTGACTCAGATATTGGTTATGGCTTGAGCAGTTATGGTTTGTTATGACACATACAGATATATACAGATTACAAATAAGAATTATAAAAACTATTGTTCCAAAATAGCTAGCTATAGCTTGTTTAACCATTGTAAAATACTGAGTGTATATCATAAATTCAAGTTTTGTGTTTACAGAACATAACAGTGCACATAATCTACAGTCTCATCATCGTCCCGAATACTTCCGTAACCTTAATTATAAAAAATATCTCCTACCTAAAACTAACATAGTATATGGTTCGAGAACACTAAAATATGTTACTCCTAAATTTCTAAATGAAATGCCCCCAAGTATTCAAGAGTTGTATGTTAAAGATAAGATATAAGATAGGTCAGTGCATTCGCCCGGATTGCGAAGGGTGCGGGTTCGAGTCCCGACCGCTGCCTGGTCAGCGTGGATTTCTTTCTAGTTAACTTTTCTTTAGATTTAAACATCTAGCAGTTAAATGCTTAAAAAATAAATAAAAACATTAAAGATAATTGTAAATATAAACATAAGAAGTATTTGTTAGAACGGATCGCTGTAGACAGATAAACCCATGTTTAAGGGTTTTTTAGATACAGCCATTGTATATTAAAATGTAATGTTTTGATTGAATAAATAAATAAAAACGAGCGAGCCTTACAGAGGTCGCGTATGATGTGTAACATATGAAACATCACCTTATATTAGTAAAAAAAGAAATAAAACCTAACTACAAAAGGAATAAGCCATTTGAACATTGTTCTTAAATCAAATCAAATAGCGCGCGCTTTCGCGACTTCCTGTTACACACTTCCGTCCCATTTCACGAAATCACTCCTACAAATTACAGGAAAGCGAGAGGAAAGATGTTACTCGTCAAAAAAACATGTTTTTTTACTTGTATAACGGTATATCCGGCTCGCCGCCCTCCATGGATCTCAGGGTGAGACAGCACTGCTGCAGCTTCGATTTGGGATCGTTCCAGTCTTGGTTCATGATGAACTCTTGAAGGCGCGGGAATAAGCAAGCGTTGCAGAACGCCTGGCAATATTCTAGGTTCTGGAAGCATAGAAGAAATGTGAAACTGGTACAGTTTACTGATTTGCTCTTTACCACAATATAGAAATTAGCTACAAGAACGGCTCCCGCCATATTTGAAAATGGTTAAAAATATAAATTTATTCACCAATACAATTTTTTTAACTTAGCTGACAATTAAACAGTAGTTTTCGCACTGAGCTGAGCTCGTAACGCAAAGACCTAATATTGCAGTTTTACTAAATGGTTCGCATTTCAACATGTTGACGAAAACCGGAAGGTGAATTCTTAACCAATTAAATAAACATTGTGAGTGAGGAAGTTACAGTAATACATAAATGTTCGATAATCACATTTTATGACAAAAAATATAACATTAGTAAAATTATAAAAGTATTTGGTGTAATTTTAAACATTTGTTATTTAATATTTTTATAAGATACTTAAAGTTCGCTATTAATTTTGACAACACGTGCTAGTCGATTAATTTCTGGTTGAAATTACGTGAGAATTGTAAACGTAAACTGTATATTATGTTCTATCTATGACAGAAGTGACGGTTAAACAGTAGGATGTCATAAGTCATAAATGTAATACGTTCTCTTATACAACTGTTTACAAACTAAAATATCTAGAGCACTGTGTTGTCGCTAAATACTCACAAACATTTGCAAGAAAAAAAGAATCTGGGCGATACTCGTGCAGCGTAAGGCTGAAGATGGAGTGACTTTGGCTATTTTTGACTTTGGAAACACGTAACCCGATCGTAAATTTAAAGTTTAAACGTTAATTTAGAGTACAGGTTATAGGGAAAAAATGAGACGAAAACGATCTTTCTTACAGTCTATTTAAACAAAGTATATTTTTGTTTCATTTCAATACCCTTAGCACGAACCAATTTCGAATTTGAATAGTTTGCTAGTGCGAAATGTCACTATCAAATTTTGTAAGGAAACTTGAACTGCAGCGCCACAACGGACGTAAGAAGAACTAAAACCAATACACATTTTACGTACAAAATGGATCGAATTCAACTATTCGAATTCGATAACGGTTCGTGTTAAGGGAACAGTAAATAGAAATTACCTTGTCAATAAAAAGAGCGCCCAGAAACGCTTCTAACAAGTCTGCCTTGTGTTTCTTGGTTGTAGGTTTTGCCTTAGGGTTGTTGTAGATAGCATAAGCCGACATATTGAGGTCGTCGCACACCATCGACTGGGTGCGGTTGTTGACTAGAGATGAACGCAGAAGCTATAAAATTAAATCAAATCAGTTTATTGGTTATAACACCAGAGAGATTGCAGTGGTATATAGAATACATAGGCATGCATAATTATTACAACCAAAATTGTCGCTACTCGGTTGATGCTGCAACATAAGGTTACAGCACTGATCTTCCGTAGCGTCAGTGACACTAGTAGACTTGAGATTTTTCATTAATAGACAATAAACACACGAGGATAAATATTTCCCAGAAAAAAAACGAGCGAGCCTTACAGTTAGTCGTATGATGTGTAACATTTGAAACCTTAAAAAAAGCAATAAAACCTACTACAAAAGGAATAAGCCATTTGAAAATTATGTTCTAAAATCAAATCAAATAGCGCGCGCTTTCGCGACTTCCTGTTACACACTTCCGTCCCATTTCACGAAATCACTCCCACAAATTGCAGGAAAGCTAGAAGAAAGATGTTACACACCAAAAACACACGGTCCAGGCTTCAGATAGGGCTTGAAACTGCAACTTCCGCTTACAGGGCAGATATTATAAAATAAAATAATGATTTAAATATTAAAGTCGGTTTAGTGGGTCAAAATTCAGTAAATGTAACTAGTTGGTCAACACCACACACACAATGTTTAGTTTGTATAGATAAAGTATCAGGCGCATTGAAAGGAAATTTTCTGCTGTCCTAAAATCGCTGTGCTATAATTACATACAACTATTTCGTTGTGGCTCCTAACCCCAATTGTTTTTGCATACATTGTTTATTTTATTTATTACAATAATTTATTTTATTTCTTAGATCAGCTTACTTTTGTGCACATCGCAAAGATATTTTTTAAATATTACAAAGTATTTTTTTGTAATATTGTTAAGAGTGTGATGTTAGCACTTTACATGGCTATTCGTATTTGCTATTATGTTATCAACAACAACAACTCATCCTTATCGAACTTTACAAGCAATGAAGATGAGAAATAGATTTCAATTTATTATATTTTATTTTAAGCTTAACCTGCTCGATTTATAAACCTAAAGAAATGTTTTACTAAAAGATAATCCACTCTGTAAACGTTCCTGCCTGACATCTTACCCGAGTATTTTATTACCTAGTTAAAGAAAAATTATACTAACAAATATTCAACTTGGTTCTTAGCCGAGTGTTTTATTTTCTAGTTTAAAAAAATATAGAACTGCTTTCAAGTTTACAAATAACAAACACAAGCAACCATTTGAAGTGTAGCATTATATTCACATTTTTTATTATTATTATTTCTCTAACACACACAAACACCCAAACACCCTTTAATATTAGTTCTTTAGTTTTCATTTACAAAAAACAACACATTTAATTCCAATTATGCCAACTCATCGACTCCAGTCCTCAAGAGACAGGATTAACTAGTTTGGGGACTATTCTTAAAACTGTTGTATTTACATATCTTTAGTCAAATAAATTATTTTTATTATTATACTCACAGACAAATGCCCCTCATGATGGTCGGGGAAGTGTCGATAAAGGCGATCGGACACTACCAATTGTAAGACAGTATCACCCAGGAACTCTAAGCGTTGGTTTGAGCCGAGTGTGAGATGCGTGAATCCTACCGAGCGATCGGTGAATGCTCGCGCCAACAAACGGATATGTCTGAACTGTACGCCTGTACCGTAAATTAAGAGAAAATTAATTAGAAAAAAAATGAATAACACGACTACCCTGTACCTACTTTGTTTTTAGCGAGTTTCCGATATTCCGGCACTGTTGTGTGGCTATATAATGCAATAAAAGACTTGAATGATATGTCTGCCAATAACATCCTACCCGCAATTACTTCAGTAACTCTGTGATCATGGCGATTGTAACAGTGCCGAAATTCCGGAAATACGCTTGCAACAAGGTACATTTTAGCAATACCGTAAATAACATAAATTACTTTAATGTTAGTGACCATGAAAGTTTAAAACAATATAACACGACTCTTTTAAAAAGTTATTTTAAATATAAACTGCAGAAAAAGAAACAAGTCCAAATGTCCCAAGTGGTGGTCGGAAAAGTGTCGGTAAATGAAGAACTTGAACTGTACGGCTGCACGGTAAGATTAGACAAACTTAATTATAAAACAACTGTCCTGAGGAAAAAAACGTATAAAACCAACAACATTAAAAAATGTGGTAATCGGAGCCTTCAATTTGTAATCCACTTTTTTTTATTGCCTTCAAAGACAATGATTTATATGTGAACACCTGTTCAGACATTTTCAAGTTACGCTGGAATGTAAAATACCCATTTCGTGTCTCACCGATGGAGTCTTCGAATTCTGTGAGCCGCTGCAGGAACTCAAAATCCTTAATATATTTCCGGTCACCAAGTGGTTCTTGTTCTTGAAGCGGGTGAGCGCGATCCTTAGTCCAAACTTCAAGTAAATCCAGCTCATTGTACCATAATGCGAGAGAAAATACGCGGTCGGCGACCTGTATCAGTAAAGACATTACTTGTTAAATGAGTTTAATGATATGAAGAGCCCGATGGCGCAGGTGGTTAGCGCGCTCAGTCTGCGATCGTGAAAGTTAAGCAACTTTCGCAATGGTCGGTTCTTGGATGGGTGATCAAAAACTTACTATCTCGAGGACCTCCGTGTTTCATAAGGCACGTATAGCCATTAGTCCCGGCTGCATCTGCAGTCGTTAGTACACACCAGTCCACACTGGTGGGTCACACACGGCCCAGTCTTAATATTCCATCCATAGGAAAAGCCTGTGCCCCAGCAGTGAGGACATGAATAGGTTAGTGATGATTATTTATTACATACAATGATATGGTTATAACCAAGCGTTAAGGACCGGATATATTAATGATAATAAAGTCAATGTGCCAGTAAATATAGCATTCTCACATCCCATTGATTTGAAAGTTTAGTTAACGTGAACACTTTTGATTAAGGTTGAATTGGAACGCCCACCTGAAAGAACATTATTGAGGCCACCAGGGGCATCAGTAAAGTCGCTACTACAAATGGATAGGGCAGAAAACGGGGTACTGGTAAAAAAATACCCTTAATTTATTTTAACATTTTCAAAAAACAAGAAATCGCGTATAAACTAGAAATCAAATATGAAAATTTTGATACATCGGTACACTTCAATAATTATTATTAGAATACGTTATATCTTAGTAGGAAACAATGAATATATGGCTAAAGATAAAAGACTGTATCGAATATGTATCCTTTATCTTTTTCTATATAAACAAAATAACAACGAACTTTAACAACAAAATAACAAAAATATAGTGCGTCTTTATGAATGTGGCAAAAATTGGAACTAACGCCGTTTATGTAAACGTCATATTTTTGTATGTTACTCACGTAGACAGTGGCGCCCTCCCTGCACTGTCACTTACGTTCACAAAGATTCTTGTCGCACTGGACAATACCTCCAGGCCGGCGTCGAGGAACAGCGCGCCCATGAGTGCCTCGAAGCAGTTGGCCATCGCGTGCCGCATCACCACCTCGCGGCACAAATCCGACCCAAGAGCGTACAGCATGTAGTGCTTCAGTTCAATGTTCTGGATACAAACTATACCTCCAGGCCAGCGTCGAGGAACAGCGCGCCCATGAGTGCCTCGAAGCAGTTGGCCATCGCGTGCCGCATCACCACCTCGCGGCACAAATCCGACCCAAGAGCGTACAGCATGTAGTGCTTCAGTTCAATGTTCTGGATACAAACTATACCTCCAGGCCAGCGTCGAGGAACAGCGCGCCCATGAGTGCCTCGAAGCAATTGGCCATCGCGTGCCGCATGACCACCTCACGGCACAGATCCGACCCGTGAGCGTATAGCATGTACTGCTCCAGTTCAATGTTCTGGATAAAACCACACAAAAAAATTACGCAAGAACTACACTTTCCGGATACATCTATCGGCCCACTTAGTGTTATAAGTTTCAAGGGTCTGTAGCAAAAATATATATTAGGTGGAACAATAATAATATTTTTATAAAACAAACGAAAAAATGTGTTTAATAAAGCAGCTTCAAAACTGCGTATTATGCTTGTTTTAACATTTTTTTTAGCTAGGGACCGTCAAAAACTTAAAATACTAGGAGGGATGATACATGTGTCCGGAAGTATATTTACTCTCAAATGAGTTTTTAGTAAAATTTACGCCACCAGTTGGCGCCACTGTGACAAGAGGTCTTTTTTGTGAATTTTTTGGCGCGAATTTATCGAAGAAGCAGTTAAATTGTTGCATAGACTTCGACGACATAGGTGATTAGACGGATGAGTAGACCTTTCGTCTCAATACTGCCACCTGACGCCCGACATTCCAGAAACCCCTTATTAAGCAGAGCTTGCACATGCTTGAGCAATGCACAAATAAGTTTAAAATAAACAACTATGAATAAGAAACAAATATTCGCACTCGTCGCATATTTAAATACTCATTAAATGATTCGAACCTAGGACCTTTGGACTAACATGCAGGATTGCTAGCCAATCGTAAAAGTTATCACAAAACGAAATCGTATACACTACGATTTCGTCATGGACAAAATCAAAGAGGAAAAGATCTAAATTTTTATAAGAACATAATAGGGAACTCAAAATGTAATAGAGAATATTTCAACCGACGAAAATAAAACTTTCATTTCAAAACCATAAAAAGTCATGTTATAATTTTAATTTTTTTTAGCTCAAATAGGGATGATGACAAATTTTTTTTTCTTTGTTTATCAGGTATATTATCAAAAAGTATTGGACACTTTTTTTTTCTTTTTTCACATAATATAAACATTGCAGAGTTATATTGATTTGAAAAGTCGCATGACGTCACATTTGAGTACACTTATAAGTGAAAATACACTCAAAAGTGACGTCACGAGCCCCTACTCCCGCTTTGACGCGCTATAACTTTGTCATTTTTTGGTTGATTGCCCAAAGAAAAAAATACGTGTCCATTATTTTTTGATCATCTAACTGACGGGCTAAATAGAATTTCGTTTACTGTTCCCCGTCATCACCCCTATTGCTAGTACAAAAAATAATCATAATATGAAAGATGGAGAAGTATGATGCAAAGCAAACTATACCTTAGCCCGTTAAGTCAAGTGTTTGTTTTGGACGATAGCCCCTATTTATGTAGCTAATCTACTTCAGCCAAGTCTAGGAACATTCGTAACAAGTGGACGAAGGACAGTCAAAGAAAGGAGAATGTAAAGAATGGAAAATATGATACAAACTATACCTTAGCCAATTGAGCCAAGTGTTGGTTTTGAACAATGGCCGCTCTATACGTAGCTAAGCCTCCTTCAGCTAAGTCCGGGAACATTCGGAACAGGTGGATGGAAGATAGGAATTCCACCACAGCGTCCCCGAGGAACTCCAACCTCTCATTGTGTTTTATCTCGGATTCCGTCTCGCTGTGCTTGCCGAAGCGTGACATTATGTTTATCAGGGTTACGATACCTGAATGCGGACACAAATTTATAAATTACTAGCTGACCCAGCGAACTTCGTACCGCCATATAAATAGGGCCAGGTGGTAGAGAGAAAATTTAGGGTTGTATGATTTTTTAATACCATTTTATAAATAAATAAATAGGTATTGTCCAAAAAAAATTTTAGGATGTGTAACGTAGTGTTCTATCAATAACATTCCTTTTAACCCATATGAGAAGACTACGTTACAATACCCAATAGTTTGAATTTTGGCGCGAAGGCGCATTGTAGGTTTCAGAACACTACGTTACCGGTGGACAACCATTATCACTTAAAGATATGAAAAATAGATAGTAGCCGATTCTCAGACCCACGGAATATGCATATAAAATTTCATAAAATAGACTTGCAACGAATATTCGGTATTCTGCCTATTCGGCTGCTTTTATTATATTCGGCCGAATACCGAATACTTAGAGAGAAATAATTGGTAAAATGAAAAATTAATATCGATTGATTACGTATATATTCATATTCTCATTACTGTTATATATAAATAATAAATTAATATTTCCAACACTCACACCAATTAGCCTAGCCCCAAAGTAAGCACTGTAAGGCTTGTGTTATGGGATACTAGGGTAACGGATAGAATACATATACTTTACATATATAAGTATATTTATATGGAAATACATATTAAACATCCATGACTGGAGTACAAATGCTCGTGTTCATCACACAAACATCTGCCCCCACCAGGATTCGAACCCGGGACCTCTCGAGTCGGCGACGCCATGAAACCCGGCGTACAAACCACTCGTCCACGGAGGTCGTCTAAATATAATCATTTTTTTTTGAGTGTGTATGCTGTTGGTCGCAGATGACCTTTACAGCGTCACCGGGTTTGGGGACGGCGAGATCCTAAGGGGACCTCAAGCCGAGAATTGGCGAGTGCCTCTGGAGGTATTTCAGTCGGATGGCGTCTCCCCGGGGGGAGTCTCCACTCCGTCTGGAGCCTCCAGACCACTCCAACCTGAGGGGGGTCGGCTCAACTAGAGGGCGTCTCTGAGACTCGGACCTCGGCTCTAGTTAGCCGTTGTCGTGGGGGGCGGGGAAAAACGCCCAGGTACGTACCTGTACCTGGTATTGCGTGTCGTGTGTAGACCGGGTCTTCGCACTCTTATCCTACGGGTGCGGTGTCTGCCTAATGCTAAGCTAGTGTGCACGTTTGCTAGCTGTGTAGTGTTGGTGTTTGTGGCCTGTGTGGGAGGAGTCGGAGGCGCGTTGGCGCGTGTGATTTCGTCGTCTAGGTGGTCTAAGACGTGCCTAGGCCGACGGAATCGGAGGGACCTACGATTGGAGGACGGGAGGGCGGACGTATGATAACAACTCGCTTTTACTACTAAGGGGTTCGGGTGATGCGCGGCTTTATCGAAGTAACGCCTCGAGGCGTCCTTCATATACTTCGCGATGGAGTCTAATTTGAGGTCGCGATGCAAATCTATGTTGCGCACGTACCACGGGCAACCCGTGGCACCGCGCAACACACGATTTTGCAGCGTTTGGAGTATTTAAGACGCGACGGAGGTACGTGGGCGAAGCAAACACTCGCGTAGGTCATTATAGGGCGGATGCAAGTTTTGTAAATTGTCAACTTATGTCTAAGTGACAACTATATAATCATTAAAGTAGTCATTGGTACATAACACAGGTAGGTACATAATCATCTTCTAAATTGGAAAAATGGAGGATTCTATGTATTTGAATTATTGTGGTAATCAAAATTTAAAAGGGTGAGGTTCTCATTTATTTTATAATTATTTATTAAGTCTATTATTTAATAAATTATTGGTACATTAAACAGGTACATAATTTAATTATTTTCTGTATTAAACAAGTTAAGAATTTTTCTATGCATTTGAATTATTTTCATAATTAAAATTTAGAAGGGGAAGTTTATGGTGCAAAAAGACTAAATTTTCTGCATTTTTAGAAAGTGTAGAACTTTTTTTTTCTCGTAGACCATCCCAGTTTCAGAGAAAAGGCGCTCTGAAAAAACACTACTTCCTGGCGCCGACAAATATTTTGCTGCAATCTTAATCAAACACGGAAATTCAATTTCCTTGCTGCCACCATTTATACGGGTTGTCATGACGTGATATATTACTAATATTTAAGAAAGATCTCTTTCTGTTGAAACTGCGTTTGACTGAATTGCACTGCAAACAAAGGAGCGCGAAACAAGTTTTTGGCGCTAAAATCCAGCCGAATATTCGGCCTAATATTCGGCTATTCGGTCTTGGGCCTCGCCGAATATTCGGTATTCGGTATACTGCCGAATATACTATTCGTTGCAAGTCTAATAAAAATCGGTCAGGCTGTTTCGGAGGAGTATGGTAACTAACATTGTGACACGAGAATTTTATATATAAGATGATGGATTTAATTAAATTTATTTTTCTTTTCAATAACAATAAGTAATTTTTCTCAGACAAGTCTATAATGTTAGGAAAAATGATTTTTAAATTCAATGACCTAACATGAATGAATATCATTGACTTATTTCGACTTTATGTAGACGTAGCGGGTTTTATTTAAACGCCATTCTCTAAATACATAAACAATAAATAAATGTTTCTAACAGTCGCACCAATTAGCCTGGCCCCAAAGTAAACACTTTCAATGCTTGTGTTATTCCCATAACACAAGCCTAAGGTAATGATTCCGCCATTTTTGCGGGAGGAGGAATATCCACACAAATGCAGTGCAACATACTTTCGCCAAAACAAAATAGTAATTACGACAACATAAAACATAAAAAAATGACAGCGCTAAATCGGACATAGATGAAACTTAAGATTTTTTATTGACAGATCTGAAATTTGTACTGGCGAGTCGATTGTTTTGTGTTTAAGAGTGGTTAAATTAATATAATATTTACAGTGGAAAAGCAGATTCGCTTCAACGTCACTTTAGTAACTTTACAGAAACGATGATCAGTTTTTTTTTTCACAAAAAAATCATAACTCAACTCAAAATAAATGAGAAGTAGCACCATAAAAATAAAAACATTATCATAAAATAATATTTTTTAAATCCTCCTATTAAAAAGTTACATATTATTATTACAGTAGGGCAAGTAAGCGGCAATGGTTCAAAAAAAACCGAAATTTATGTCGCTCCAGCATTGTGAACAATACAAATCTTCAAAAATTGAGTTTCTTAAGCTCCAACGAAACATAAACAGATCAACGCAGTAAAAAAAAATATTAAAATTTTATAGATAACATTAAGATAAAATTCTACTTATATGCAAAATTTAACACCATCCTTTTGTAAGTTTTATATTCCAGATATGTTTTACAGCAAAATTACATAACATTTTGGCATTTTTGATTTCTAACATACACGCGCCTTGACTCAGTCTAGTAAAATATCCAAAAGCGGGGGAAAATCGACAGGGGGGAACGCTGTGAATGCCTACTCCCCTGGCCGCGTTACTCTATGGTATGTTTAGAACTGTATTTGAGTAGATATTAAATTAAACGTCCATGACTTAGTTATTCATCACACAAACACTTGTTTGTGTTTTGTAGGTTTGATAATACCTTAAACCTGCCGTACATAACACCCCTCCTCCCCCCCATATCCCGAAAACATGTGCTTGATATCTTCTTAATAGTAAATACGCACCCTTCTTCCTTGTGTAATGTATTCTTCTATCGCCGTACTCGGGCTGCCTAATACCGCAGTTGGTGAGACTATTCCTAGCGTGGTCTGGATTGGTTCCGAAGTTCTCCCTATAGGAAGGGTGAGTTAAAGCGGTCTGCAGTAGCATACGTTGCTTGAATATGTAGCCGATCTTTTTTTCGAGACTGTCTAGGGATTTATGGAATCGAAGGTGCCTCACCAAAACCGGTATTAACATAGCGTGCTGGAATAAAAACATAAGTTATAACATTTGTGGTGAGGGTGCCGACTGAACATCTGGCGACTTTCATGAAGGAGGATCTTTGGCCGAAAGGTGTAGTGTTCTGGCGCTTCCGAGGTCGGTTACCTGACACCACTTCGCGTCACACGTCGCCGTCTATACGTGTTAGTTAGGTGTTTACTAACAGTTAATAATTTTATTTACTAATATCAATGTTTTATATCTGTATATATGTTAGACTATAAGGTACTTATCTATGGGCCTATGTTGCCTGATTATAAATAAATAAAAAAAAAAACATACAACGATTCACTCGAAACTAAAGGAACTCAGGGATGTGATAGTTAACGTGAAGAAGTTAAGCATTTATTGTCATTACGTACGTATCACTAGTAGGATTACTGGGTGCTAACAACTGCAGATGCAGATGGGTCTAATGGTTTTACTTGCCATATATATATATATATTATTTATGTTGGGTGAACATGAACATGGATACAAAAGAGTTGTACTATGCAATGCATCCAATTTGAATAAAGATATTTGTTTTTGAACATTGGGAAAACTACCATGAAGGCAAACCAAACATTAGTTTTGGTTTGGTGTTGCTATCTTCATTTCAGAAAAATGTTTTTAACCATCTAACAACCGAATTCAGGTAGGTCAATTTGATAAAAAGTTATTTCTGTCACTTTTGTTTGTGATAACAGTAGTAGAGTGAGACAAAACTTGACTTTTAATGACATTAAATTTATCATTATTATTAACCTCAGAACAAGAACTAAAGCACAAGTAATGCACACATGCAACACAAGTTTCCAAAAAAAGTATTACTTAACCAAAACGTATTATGGCGTGTTGGCAGGTTGCATTTGACATTAAATCGCTTTTTGATTCGGTATCGTAATTGTAGCCAAGGCGTATCCGGTTTAACGTTTGAATAGTAGTGGTACGCACGCTGTTCATAGTAATACATGTTTTGTCTCTTTTGGTCTATGGTTATCTTAGTATTAGTCGACTTTATGGGTTGAATTTACACTGTTTCTATGTTTTAGTACTTGTTCTGAGTTTAACACTTACTTGTACGACGTCGCACATGAGGCCCGTAGTGTGGAATCCCTCAGACGATATGGCCACAGTGACGTCCCTCTTCATCTTGCTCTGAGTGCGCATCTCTTGCAGTTTGGCTTCTTTGGTGGCGAGTTTCTGCCTTTCGTTCGTTGACGGTTTCGCCATATTGGCTATTAGATGCCTGTACTTGACATAGTATCGCCACGCTTTTTGGTACCTAAAAGAGCAATAATTAGGTCGAAACTGGAAATTCTCTGTAACTGATACTGAGCAGTTTTTCGCTATTTTCCGTCCGTTGTGGCGCTGCTGTTCAAGTTATAACATACAGATACATACAGATTTTTGACAATGACATTTCGCACTCGCAACGAATTCGATATTGGTTTGTACTTATTGATTTATTGCGTTTTATAAATAGACTGTGGTAGAATTTCAGAGGTCGTGGATATGTAAATAAGAGTTAATATGAATGTAACGCAAGCAAAAACGTGTGTAAGAGCCACAATACTGCACCTTGACATTAAGCTTGATTATGGGAACGAACCTCTTAAAAAATTTCAAGATAGAACGTAAGTGATTAAATTTTTTAAATTGATCCAGATCAAGTGATGATTAAATATTATAAAACTTTTTTTAATTCACCTGTCAATAATCGTACCAAAATCACTCTTACATAAAACCGCACTACCCTAGTATCTTGGTAAATTATAGCTAGCCTATTACTAACAAACAACAATACAAAAATAAATTCTCTACACTAGATAAGGTTTATTACAAAACAAAAGAATAAAAATTCATACTCAGGGTTTCCAGCATAGCTGAGCTGCGGTGGTCGAATACCAAAATGTACGATCTCTGGATGGTACTTCTTTATTTCTGTAGAAGACTTCTTGTCACTAACTGGTGGGCTTCGATCCAATTGGTCCACACGCACTGAACATGGTTTTTTGCCAGGATATGTTACTATCATACCTACGAGAAACAAGCAAACTCCTCTAAAATATTTGTTGTTAATTGATTACATATATTTTAAAATTATATAGTATGCACAAGTGCAACACGAAAATACATAAAACACATGCAAAAATGCAAGCATGATATAAAAAAATAAAAGCTGAAAAAAGACCTGATACAAATTGGGGATAACCGTTATAAAAAAAAATATATAGTATAAATATGTCCCGCTAGCATGAGCTCCGCGATATGACATTATATCACGTTTTTTATCCCGTCTAACTGTCAAACTCCATAGTAATTCAACAATTGAGCGTGATAAAAACGCGTTATATATCATATCGCAGTACTCATGCTAGGGGGACAGACGCGATAAAAAAACGTGATATAATGTATAATGCGATGGTCAATTGGTCATGTTACGGAGACTGAGGAGCTTATGTAGAGAGTGTTAAATTTACGATTCATAAAATAACTATGAAATATATATATTTTTTAATGTATGATTTATAAATATTATTAATTAATGTCTCTAACTGCGCCTTTGTGAACCAGGTCTTAGTGGTGTCGATTCTGTCATGATTGTAAACTTAAAACTTAACATCAGTTTTTCGTTTACATTCTCTATAGAGAATGACAACAATACTCTGTTGTCAAATTAAATCTTAGATTTAGAGATTCATTTCAGAATTGAAACCATGACACATACATACATGTAATAATGACAGATATAAACTCCCAGCTATAACAATCATGATTTACCTTTAATTCTATCCACAAACTTTTGCCAAGTGTAATGATCCATATCATGGACATCTTCAAGTTTCTCTGATGGTATGAGTAAGCCACTCTCATCTAACAAATATTTTAAAACTTCACACATAGACAACACCTAAAATCACACAGGCTCAAATTAACTAAAAATATTAAAAAAATCCTAGAAAAAAATCCACACGGACCTTTCTTTTCTAATAAAATTTTCTTTAGATGACAACATCTAGCAGTTAAATGCTTAAAAAAATAAAACATAATTAAAATATTGACTTTGATGAAGAGTTTGATGACGCCGTTGTTAGCACGTTCGGTCTGGGATCGTGGAAGCTAAGTAACTTTCGCAATGGATTGGTGACCTTTCTCGACTGTTTTTTTTTTCCATCAATAACTTCGACGTTCGTAGACCGAATACAAACCACTGCGCCACCGAGCTCCCCAAAAAACAGTAGAAAAGGATAAATTAACGAATAATGTCCACTGCCTCGGAGTAATTACCTCACATCCCCCTTCCGGTAAATACCGTACAAATCGTGGCATAAAATGGAATTGAGAGCATGTTGTATCCGTAGCTTTGCCCAAGTCCAAATCAACTAATTCTAGTAGTTCAGTGAATAAATATTCCTCTGTAAATAATAAAATACATACCTATATCTTTAATTAAAATACATTTGTGTATATTTCTATGCTTTACAATCAGAACTATCAGAGAAATAAGAAATATTTAGAGATATTTTCGAAAACACACATTTTTATTTTAGATATATGAATCTGTGGCCTAAAGTAAATAATGGAAAATTAAACAAGGAACCAAACTTCAATGTCAACAATGTCTTACCGAAATACTCCAACTCCTGCACCGAAAAATTCTGTGGCGCTGGCTCTTCGACATACAGTATGGTATATTCGATATTAAACCTTATTACTTTGCAAGTAGGCAATTTAGCTAATTTGTAATGTGAGAACATAGAGAAACCAGAGAAAAGAAATTCATGTTCGTCGTGAGCAATAATAGTTGGCGCCTTTATCAAGAAGTTCGTGGGTGGAGACACTGTTATACTGAAATAACAAAATAATAACAATAAATATTCCTAACATTCACGTCAATTAGCCTAACCCCCAAAATAAGCACTGTAAGGCTTGTGTTATGGGATACAATTTTATATCACAATGGCTAATTACATAAACATTTTAAATAGTTCTTAAATGAAAGAGATCAAAAGCGTCGGCATATTGTAAGAATAATACCATATACTGCATTTCAAATAAGGAATTATAAATATTAAAGAAGCATTACTCTTTAACAAAGGCCGCTACAACATGGTTCCAAACTCATACAACGTAACATCAATATTAACACTAGGCTTGTTGAAAATATATCGATGTATCGATATATCGATATTTTTTGCCGATATATTTTGATTCGATATATCGATACAAAATAACCAATATCGAAATTCGTATCAAAAACGATTTTTTTTTTAATTATTAGCGGCATATCACGATCTAACTAAATTCGTATCTGGAAAAATTGAAACTGGATCTTAGATTAATGATATTCAACATATCTATGATCTGTGCTGTATTTAGTATTGTCTATTATTTGTAAATCTGTTTCGCTGGTGAATTAGTTGTGCTGATTTCCATTATATTCTGTGGAAGTGTGTGACTGTCTAGTCTTGTTTACGAAAGATGGCACCTGAGAGGCCCTGCAATTATTTTCATCATTCGAAAATAGGGTCTATTTTTAGGGAGATAATTTTCGTTCCATTATTATTCCGCGTGTCAATTTTCGTGAGATACTGTACTGTCATGTAGTGTAGCGGCAATTTGCTACTTTGATAATTCTTTCTTTAATTATAATTTGTATTGAACTATTATTATTACTGTGCTAGGCTGACCTAAATATATTTTTGGGAAAATTGGACCGATATATCGACGTTTTTATCGCGATTTATCGAAGCCGATATTGATATTTTTTTTAAATATCGATGTATCGATATATCGATATTTTTTTCAACTTTCGAAATCCCTAATTAACACACAGACAAAATTTGACATCAAATATTGGGTAAGGTAACTAACTTATCGGGTAAGATAATAATGTATATTATTGGGTCAGATAATGTTAAACGGAAATTTATTAATTACATGTTTATATAAATATTAAGGATGAGCCTGCCTCTCATAACACAGAGACACATTAGAACTGCTCTCAATTAGGCTACCTGTGCACGGGAGCTGAACGTGACTGCGGTGCGGAGTAACGGAGAAATATTAACCAATAAGTTTGCACAAAATCTTGCTCTTCAGTGAATAGAATAAGTGCAATCCTATTGTATAATATTTATCCGCTCCAATGGACAGGCAGCCTTAAGGTTTTAAATGAGAGCAGTTCTAATATTGTATAACCAAAAAAAATATGTGCATGGACCACACACCTAAAGTGAAACATCTTTTCATATAACCTAACATTAGGCGGTACATAAGGCATAGAGGAATAGAGCAACGCACGCATCACTCATATTATATGTATATACATATACTACATATATAATGTCACGCATGATATATTGTCACGTGTGACACTCATAGCGTTTCAGCCCTCGCCGAGTTACAACTTTCATGCTCGTCGGCAAGAGTTGCGCACGCATCCTACACACACACACACACGCACATATAAATATATATAGTCGTGTGAAGAAAAAAGAATTTTACTTCAAAAATATTTGGAATAAAGGTTTTTATATTTTCACTAGCTGACCCAGCGAACTTCGTACCGCCCTAAAAAATAGGGGTTGTCCAGCGGACAAAATTGTGAATCTGAACCATTCTCAGATCCCCTTGAACACACACAAAAAATTTCATCAAAATCGGTCCAGTCGTTTAAGAGAAGTTCAGTGACATACACACTCACAGAAGAATTATATATATAAAGATATTCAAATCCCAACCATCCCATGTTTGGCGTGTTGATGCATTTTCTTCACCCGGTCCACATGATCGCAGTTTGCATGGTTCAACTTTTTAGCGCAGTTCGTATTCCATATCAGTTTTAATTCGCTGGCTTCAATCAAAACGATTCACCAGAGAGAGAATCGAAGCTCGACGGCGCAAGTGGATAAAGCCTTCGGCTGCGATCACTGAAGTTAAGCAACTTTCGGATTGATCTGTCATGGGTGTCCTAAAAAATTTACTATCTCCAGCTCCTCCGTGCTTTGGAAGGCACTTAAGCCGGTGATCCCGGCTGCATCTGCAGTCGTTAGCACCCGCTAATCCGCACTGGGCCCCGTGGTGGGCTCAATCTCCTTATACCATCCATAGGGAATGCCTGTGCCTCAGCAGTGGAGACATTAAAAGGCTGATGATGATGATGATGATCAGAAAGAGAATACAAACTCACCGGTAATGATATAGTTTATCTAAATTGTTCTGATTGGGAATGCACTTGGGGTAAATCTCCTCTCCGGCGTAGACCCCGTGCCGCATGCCGTGGCGGCGTGCTCGGGCGCTGCACCGGCACAGCGGCCCGCCGTTCATTTCACCGGTGTTGTTAAACCTAGAGTATTAATATAATACGTGAGTAAATCTAAAGAAAATTTTACAAAAAAAAATCCACGTAGTCAAGGCTGCAGACTGGACTCGAACCCGCACCCTTAGCTATCCGGGCCAATGCACTACCATTTATGCTAGCGCGACCTTAATGGTCGTGTCGAATTTCTCCTAGTATTCCTTAGGCTGCAAGGCAGCGCCATCTCTTCATATTGTATTGTATTATGCCCACAATGTCAAATAAATAGAAAATAATAGTTAAAGACATTCTTTTGTGCATGCTGGGGCCGATTTCGTCGATGTCCTTTAATAGTTAACAAAACCAATAAAGATACATAGCCTAAGGAACTTTTAAATATTGCTCATACTAATGCACCATCTATTAATTTTGTATATAAATACTTTGCATTGCTTTGCTTTAACGTGGAACAAGAATTAGCTGATAAAATCAGGACCAAGCAAACAGCAATTCAATTCCCTTCTGAAATCTCAACTCCTCTTGAATCTTTTGTGCTTCTTGAGACGGATGCGGATAAAGTAGAAAAAGAAATATACAAGTTAAAGCCTAATTGTTCTCCAGGATGGGATTCCATAACATCTGCTCTTCTTAATTCAGCGGATAAGACTCACTCACCTGTACTTTCTACTATCGCAGATCATTAACAACAGTTTAAACTTAGGTGTTTTCCCTGATGCTCTAAAAAAATCATCATATATCCCATCTATAAAGAAGGTGACAGAAACTGCGTCAGTAATTATAGGCCTATACCCATAGGGTAGTGTTCGCGAGGCTACGCAAAATCTTCGCGTCTAAATTACCACACAGTGTCAGTGTATACTGTATACCTACGAAAGCGATAGATGGTCGTTTGCTATGGGTTCTCTTAAGAAGGCTTGAGGCCGCACAGCGGGAAATGAGATAAAGATATTCGGTATTTCCCTGAGTGATAGCATCGTAAATCCGCAGAAGACTAAAGTCGTTGACTTCACTCGAACTCAGCTCAGCTAAAATGGCAGTGGGTTGCACATGTGGCGAGGAGAACCGATGTCCGTAAGGACGTAAGGCACTCGAGTGGCAACCACGCTCAGTAACCGATCGACCGACGTTCTATTAAAGGTCGCGTTAAGCCGCTAGATTCGGACCTATTAACATGGAGAACAATATGGTCGAAAGTTGTATGACTAAATAATGATGATGATTCGAGATAAACATAAGTCGTAGTCAGATCCACAGTATCTTCAGCACTAAGACTTACTTTTTGCACTTTATTGATGTAAAAATTTTATTGTTTTTATGGAAATCTCTCCTGGGGTTCCGAAACATCCAGGTTAAGCTAAGGGGAAAAACGAGATGTTTTAAGCTACTTAGAAACTGGCCTTCCCCAGGGTTCAGTACTGGCTCCACTCTTTTGCAATACATACACTAGCGACATGCGCGTGACGCGTAGCAGCAAATTTGCATACGCCGTTGATCTCGCACTGGCTTTCCAGACAAGAACGTTTGAGGAAGGAGAGGCGGCTCTGACCGCTGACCTGCGTACGATGGGCGAATACTACGTCAAGTGGCGGATCTGTCCGAATCCAGCAAGGAGAAAAGTAGCAGCTATTTACCTTACAAACTGCCTTGCAAACAAAAAACTGGAACTTTCTTTCCATGGGGAGTCAGTTACACAGAATGCTTCGCTAAAGTACCTGAGAGTCATATTAAACTGATCGCTAACCTTCAAACAACACCGCCTAGCGCAAAAGCTCAAGTCAAGACTGGCCTCGGCCACAGTTTTGCAAACGTCGGCACTTTCCCTAGTGTACTCTATTGCTGAATACTGTGCTGCTGTCTGGTATTATAGTGCCCATACGAACAAAGTCGACACCCAGCTCAATGAAAGCATGCAAATCATCACTATGTTCATCAAGGCTACTAGTAGAATGGCTAAAAACTTGAAAATTGAGGTTTAGGAGGATGCAATTCCATTGGACATATGCTTTGATGATGATGAATATTAGTGGTCAACAATAAATCATTGTGTGCGCCAACACATAGTACTGAGTGGTGCAGTTTTTGTGACCTTAAAAGACATTACAATTCTCTACAACATACCACATTTCAGGGTGAAGTCTTCTAGGATGGCTCTGCTTCCTTTGTAACTCCATCATGATCCTGTCAGTATAACCTTGAAGATCATCTTCGTCTAAACACTCATCCTCACTTTCTGAAGATGATGAACTTTTTTCTTCCCCTAAGAAAAAAATATGATCATTAGGGTGGTCCTTATTTTTCGACTTTTGAATTATCCTCGGGGCACTTTCTCGTTTGATTATATACCTCTAAATTTGAAATACGTATTTTTAGGTTTTTGTTGAGATTTAGAGGTCGCTACCAGCTGTAAATTTTTTTACAAATAGCGTTGAAAGAGAGCTTACATAAAGGTTTCAATAATTTTTAATTTAGGGGTCTATATCACATTTTAAGTGCAAGTGAGAGTTGCATAGACAATAGCTTCTTATCCGCTCCGCCCCTCGATCCCTCTTTTTTTTTACACACCAATTAGCCTAGCCCCAAAGTAAGCACTATATGGCTTGTGTTATGGGATACTAGGGTAACGGATAAAATACATATACTGTACATATATAAGTATATTTATAGATTAGAAATACATATTAAACATCCATGACTGGAGTACAAATGCACGTATTCATCACACAAACATCTGCCCCACCGGGATTCGAACCTGGGACCTCGTCGTCTTTGGTACCAACATCTCCCAATGTATATCAAAATTGACGAAATTTAACCATATGGAGTTGATCAACTACTCGCCGTTAAAAAATTGGAACGTGAAAAAATCAAAGCTTGTGCCTCTGCTGTCTATGAAGCTATAAAATCATGGAATTTGAGCGATAAAGTAAAATGTTTGTCTTTTGACACTACTTCTGTGAATCCCGGCTTAAGGGTTGGAGTTTTGGAGCGCAAAATGGATAAAAATATGCTTTGGTTTGCTTGTTGTCACCACATAATGGAAATTATGTTGTCAGCTGCAGTAGATCAATCGCTTGCCCTATCTAGTGGTCCTGATATACAATTATTCAAAAGAGTTAAGAACCATTGGCACACTATTGACCAAAGCGACTTCAAATCACTAACAGTATTGCTTAGGCAAATATTCTCGCAGAAGTGGCCGCAGACAGGATTTCTTTTGCCAAAAAGCAACTTCAAGTACATCAACCTCAAGATAACTACAGAGAACTGTTGACTTTCGGCTAGTCTTCATCAAGCTAGATGGATGGCAAGAGCCTTGTACTGTTTAAAAATTTATTTATTTAAGCATCAGTTTAAGCGAAATTAAAGAAAAATATTTGTTTTCTTAGGCATAAGGGCCATGAATAATGATCATGTTTATCTGGCAAAATTTAACAGGAATAAAATTGACACATTCTGTTGAATGTTCTCATAGAGGTCTTAAATATATATGAATATTTCTTTTCTTCTTATTAAAATCTTAAAAACTTACAGCTATGTTTACACTTGGCTTTTGGTGGCTTAAGGGGAGGTAACTCATCCATCTCTGGACGGGCTTTACGTCCTCTCTCAATCAAGTTTTTGAAGAATAATTCACACAGCTTCTCTAGCTTCTTTGTTTGTTGCATTCCAGTCCCATTCTCAACTGTCTTATAGTAAAGTTCAGCTGGTGAACTCCTATACCACATTTTTGTTGTCTGAAATTTTTTGAATGAAATAATTTAAAGGGAGTGTATTTATGCAATATACATGACAAAATATAAGCTTCAAATGCTAAAAAGATCACACAACACAACTAACTTCTTCTGTATCTGTATTCTGTTCTCTTGACCATTGTTCCATTTTCTCAATCAAATCTTCAGATGTTTTGCAGTAGTTCTTTCTGTAATGTCAATGAAAGTTTTTTTAAATTTAAAGTGGATTCCACACATGTTCTTTAAAAGTTGGTAATTAGCATGTTTTAAAAATTAAGTGTAAAAATATACAACATGCAGAATGTTCAATATGTAGGACGAGCTTCTGCCCATCCCTTAGCTTTCTGAAAATCCCTGACACGTCAAACACTTCTGTCTCAATTCAGGTAACAAATTATTTTTGTATGAAAATTCAACCAAATTTTTTCTTATCCTAAGCTTAAGTTAAGTTTTTTTATATGGTTTCTTATAAAAAATAAAATTAAAACCTGTATTCTTCTAATATCTTGTCCCGGTCCGATAAAGGCTTGCGAGCTATATCATGTTTTCTTGGAGATAGGTCTCTGGAACGGCTAAGGCTGTGAGAGTGCCTTGGTGGAGAATGGTATCTGCCCCTATTAGGGGACTTGTAGTATCTTGGTGACCTCCTGTCCTCACGAGGGTCATAACTTCTGCTATGGCTTCTGTGTTCTCTATAACGAGGAGGACTATGTCTTCTTTCATATTCATATCTTTTTCTTTCATATTCATACTGTCTCCTTTCATATTCACGTCTATCATAATACTTATCTCTTTCTCTATAACTGCATCTTGAAGGACTTCTACTGTAATGGCTTCGACTACCAGGTGGACTATGTTTAGATCTTTGTTCATGATAATTAAAATCTTTTTCTCTCTCTCTCCGATCTCTTTCCCTTCGGTCTCTCTCTCTTTTATCTCTTTCATACATTTCATCTCTATATGGGGAATAACGGTGATATTTAGAAGATGATGCTACTGAATGCCTGGAAGAACTATGATAACTCTTATCACTTGAATCTTTGTAAGAACTTTCTCGCTTCAAATCAGCTCTTTTGAGACTCGAATTAAAAAATTCTGATGTTTCCATTGAGTTGCTGGTTTTCAATAGGTTTAAAGAACTATTTATGTGATCAATAGGCTTATAAGGAGCTTCTGGCGTATTTCTAGTACACTGGCTGAAGTAGCCTGCTTCTGGATGTATGTATTCAGATATCCCAGTCGGTGGTAAGTTTAGAGCTGTAGAGGATGGGGGCGGATGACCTTCAATAGGTGATATTAAGGGTTCTATATGAGGTGGGGGTCCGTATGGCAAAGATGGGTAGTTCATTGGTATATATGGAGGCGGTGGTTGGTCCAAGGGCGTAGGATTTGGTGTGTATGGAGGAGGATGACTGTATATATTTGGTGGTGGTAAAGACGCTGGAATCACCATTGGTGGTGGCATATTCATAGATGGAGGAGGCACACTGTAATCCACAGGAGGCACCGACATTTTCAGGATTTTTCTGTTTATATTAAATGAAATTTAACAATTGGTTATTTATCAATCATGGCTATTGATGGCATGAATAAACTTCAATTTGATATCAAAAGTTATTGGTGTTCATCTAAACACAACAAATTAATTAATTGTTATTAAAAAAATCCAATAACTTATTATGACATGACAAGATTTTGTCTATGGATTTTGTTGAGGATTTTTTTAACGTTATCCTCTTCCAGGGAAGGCTAAGGAAACAATGCCCATACAGCCTAATCCAGTTTCCTTTCTATAGAATATGAGTGTGACACGTTCTAATGTTTCTTGAAGTCATCAGCCTATTAATGTCCCACACGAAAGCATTAGGGTACGGCCAGAGTGCACCCAGATTCAGATTCAGATTCCGAAAACAAGCGCGAGAAATAAACAGTGTAGTTTAAGCAGGTTGCCTGCGGCCACTATGGCCACCCTGCTTTAACTACAGGGTGCGGCCAGAGTGCACTCAGATTCAGATTCAGATTCCGAAAACAAGCGCGAGAAATAAACAGTGTAGTCGAAGGGTACGGCCAGAGTGCACTCCTGATTCAGATTCAGATTCAGACTCAGAAAACAAGCGCGAGAAAAAGCAGGCAACCTGCTTAGACTACACTGTTTATTTCTCGCGCTTGTTTCGGAATCTGAATCTGAGTGCACTCTGGCCGCACCCACTGTTTATTTCTCGCGCTTGTTTTCGGAATCTGAATCTGAATCTGAATCTGAGTGCACTCTGGTCTTAGGGTGCGGCCAGAGTGCACTCAGATTCAGACTCAGATTCAGATTTCGAAAACAAGCGCGAGAAATAAACAGTGTAGTCTAAGCAGGTTGCTTGCTTTTTCTCGCGCTTTGTTTTCTGAGTCTGAATCTGAATCTGAATCAGGAGTGCAATCTGGCCGTACCCTTCGACTACACTGTTTATTTCTCGCGCTTGTTTTCAGAATCTGAATCTGACTCTGAATCTGAGTGCACTCTGGCCGCACCCTTACCTTAATGCTTTCGTGTGATGCGTGCAATCGTACCAACACAGAGACAGAAAATTAACAAGTGTTTTTTCTTTAAGTTGACATTGGTGCCAATTCTGGCGTGATTCTCTAAACTTAAAACTAAATTTAACATCAGTCTCTCCTTAACATTCTGTATAGAGAACGACAAGGATATACTGCTGTCAAATTTAAGTTTAGGTTTAGAGAATTATGCTAGAATCGACACCAGTGATCGAAATGTTTTATTTATATGTTATCGTTAGTTATTTATTGTTGAAATATTATTAAAACTTTCGTTTCATTATAGTTTTTTTTTTAAATAAACAAAGTTAATTCAAACTGTGTTAAAAAATTAAATATAAATATGGGTGAAGGAACAAACATTGACTTTTTTTTCAACACTAAACTTAGCGCACTCTGCTGGTGCATTTGAAAACTAATTCACGTTCCAATTAAGCATCAGCATAATTCAGCATTGTGCGCCACTGAGTTGCATTATGCTCTGTAATTGGAAAACTACCTTAGTCTCCTGGATCTCATCTATCTCTAAACCAAATTAATCTTAAGAAGAGTGAAAAGGTAACACGGTAACTACGATCTTTTATATTCATAGATAAGTAATACACGCTTCTTATTTGGAAATACGAAAGTCGGATAATTGCCTGACTTGCATTCAGTCGGGCACGCTCTCTCGCCGCGGCTACACTTCGCTACAATGTAACTACATTGTACATATTTTACGTTCGTTACGTTCCAGACAAAAAGTACTGTGTGTATTTAAGGTAGTACAAAAATTACACCTGAAATATTAGAGACAAGAAAAACGTGACATTTCATTTGTAAATTCAGATTTAAGAAATTAATGTAAAAATATTTTGCGATTAAGTAATCACTTATATTTATACATTAAATTCAAAATAAGTCTTGGACAGTTGCCGACACGTGGCACGTGGAGGCTAAATCTAATTTAAAAAAAACCTCGTGTCACGGTGTGCGTACTTAATTGAGCTCCTCCGAAACGGCTCGACCGAAATTTTAATATGCATATTCAGTAGGTCTGAGAATCGGACAACATCTAGTTTTCATCCCCCTAAATGTAACCAAAGGGTGGTGCATCATTATTTTTTTTTGTACAAAATTTATTTGTTTTTATTTTTTTATGATACATCATACAAAAACACATACAACCCTAAAATTTTCACCCTCCTACCACCTACCCCTATTTTTTATGGCGGCACAAAGTTCGCTGGAACAGCTAGTAATAAATAAATATTTCCAACACGCACATCAATTAGCCTAGCCCCAAAGTAAGCACTGTATTCTATTCTATTTTTGAAAGGCTGGCTGTTGTCTCCTTAGACAATTCTGCCAATGTTAGGGATGAGCACTACAGATATCAGTATTTTTTTGCAGTTTTACGCATCTTCCATTATTGGCCGGTTGAGTGACCTAAAAGGGTTAAATAAAAAGGTTATAGACGACACAATGACAAATACAACAGTTACAGATAAAAGCATTAGTAATAAATGGGAGTTTAAAAGTTACAATTTAATTTTATTGGTGTGTATATACTTGGCCAGGACTTGGATGAAGGGAGAGTCTAAGTGGTTTACATTCACAGGGCGGCGGATATTTTTAGGCAGTATGTCATAAAGGGAGATGGTATTTTTTAGGCAATTGAAAAATATGTGATCGACGTTTCCTTCGTCAAGACCACATTCGCATAACGAATGGTCCCTAACCCTAATTTTCTTTAAGAAGACGGGGGAGCATATGTGACCAAGACGCAAGCAAATAATGGTAGAAGTGGAGATTTTATCAAAGAAGCGGTATTTAGAAAACCACGGCTTAAAGGGAAGAAAAGGCTGCAGACTCCTATAATGTTTCCCTTTGAACTGTGAGGAGTCGTCCCAGTGTGCAGACCATACGCGATATGATGCGGCTTTAGCTTTGTTTCTTAGATCTTGGGCAAAGCATTTATCATAGGTTGGGCAGCCCATCGTTACACCCTCTTTTGCAAGGCTGTGCGCTTTTTCGTTACCTTTAATGCCAGAATGACCAGGGATCCATGAGAGGGCCACATTTATATTTTTAGAACGGCAGTTAAACAGAAGTTCTCGGATTTTTAGAGTTATATAAAAATTTTGCCTGGTACGTAAAGGGAATTTTAAAATATCATCCAAAACACTTCGGGAGTCTATGAAGACTATTGATTTGTTAAGTTTTTCAGAATGGGCTTCAATATATTTAATAGCTTCATATAAAGCAATGGCTTCTCCCGAAAAGGAGGACAGTTCTGCATGGCATCGCGGGATCCAAACAGCAGCACCTACAGCTTCTCCATTGGTGGTTTTAGAGGCGTCGGTAAAAATCGGGGTCCAGTCATAATGCGATTCAAATAAGAATAGGAAAGCCCATGACCTCCATCAGTCAAATGTCGCTTGAAAAGTACGGTTTGCATAAAAATCTTAGAATAAATACCAAACATTTGTAAACAAAAGAAGGAAATAAATAATGTGAACTTATAGATAATGAGAACTGGAAAAGGGAAATATAAGAACTTTAGTTTTATTATAAATACCCGTAATAAAAAGACCGTTTTTATTTTGAATAAAGTTGTCGTTTTAAAACCTACAATAATCGATATTTTATTTTATAACCGAAAGTATCAGTGATGATGATGACTACTCCTTCGGTAGTGCAATGATGACCGGAAATAAAAAGCTAGATTTTGATTAATGTTTTTTCTCACTCAGTCTTAATAAATAAATATTATTAAAAATGTTTTTATTTCTCTCAAAAAATAAAAAATAATAGTGAAAAATGTTAGGTATTTACAAATCAGATATTTTTTCTCACTTAACCTTGGTAAAGAAGTTCTATTAAAGAAAAACTTTTTTGCTCACTCTGTATGCTTTCCAATTACAGAGCATAATGCGACTCAGTGCCGCACAATGCCCAATTATGCTGATGCTTAATTGGAACGTGAATTAGTTTTCAAATGCACCAGCAGAGTGCGCTAAGTTCAGTGTTGAAAAAAAAAGTCAATGTTTGTACCTTCATCCATACTTATATTTATTTTTTAACAGTTTGAATTAATTTTGATTATTTAAAAAAAAACTATTAAATGAAACGAAAGCTTTAATAATTTTTCAACAATAAATAATATTATTAACGATAACATGTAAATAAAACATTTCGATCAATGCCAACTTAAAGAAAAAACACTTGTTAATTTTCTGTCTCTTAGTTGGTACCATTGCACGCATCACACGAAAGCATCACTTTTGAGAGTGCTCAATTGCGAAGCGTTGTTGTATGCTTGCTTCGCAATTGAGCACTGCTTAACGTTGAGTGTTCCAACTACAGCAACGCTTCGCACAATTGAGCACTCTCAAAAGTGATGCTTTCGTGTGATGCGTGCAATGGTACCAACTGAGAGAAAGAAAATTAACAAGTGTTTTTTCTTTAAGTTGGCATTGATCGAAATGTTTTATTTATATGTTATCGTTAGTAATATTATTTATTGTTGAAAAATTATTAAAGCTTTCGTTTCATTAAATAGTTTTTTTTAAATAATCAAAGTCCATTCAAACTGTCAAAAAATAAATATAAGTATGGATGAAGGTACAAACATTGACTTTTTTTTTCAACACTGAACTTAGCGCACTCTGCTGGTGCATTTCAAAACTAATTCACGTTCCAATTAAGCATCAGCATAATTGGGCATTGTGCGGCACTGAGTCGCATTATGCTTTCTATATATAACAATGTACTCTATGCATTATGCTCTGTAATTGGAAAGCATACAATATCTCTAATCGGGTTTAATGGACAGCTATGACGTCACAAAATGGAGCACATTCGGTTAGATAAATCGCACTGTAGGCTTGTGATATAGGATACTAGGCTAACGGATAGAATATATATACCGTAAAATGCTGCAACTTTGCCTGGATTTTGAAGTTTATTGTGAATATCTCTTACACCTATACATTATTATGACTATAAATGAGTTTTAGATGAAAAACAGAACTTATGCCTTGCTAGATAGAGTTCAAATCTCTTAAATCCTTGAAGTTCTGCTGAATTATATGTATTCAAAGACGTAGGCAAAGTTGTTTCAAAAAGACGCAACATTGCCTACAAGGATA